GGAAGAAGCCTCGAAATTAGCAGAAGAAGGTGACCGACCAAATGTTAAGAGAGTCATTACCTTACGGGATTGGAATGCACCACGCCGGGCTGAATGAAAAAGACAGAGATTTGGTCGAGGACTTATTTAAGTCAAACAAAATACAAATTTTGATCACCACCGCGACGTTGGCGTGGGGAGTCAACTTACCGGCTCATTTGGTCATCATTAAAGGCACTGAATACTTCGACGGGAAAAAGCATCAGTTTGTCGATATGCCATTGACCGATATTTTACAGATGATGGGGAGAGCCGGACGACCGCAATTTGATAATGAAGGAGTTGCTGTGATTCTGACGTACGAGCCGAAGAAGGACTTCTTAAAGAAGTTCTTGTTTGAGCCATTCCCGTTGGAGAGTTACTTTGAGAACGTCATAGCAGACCAACTTAATGCGGAAATAGCTGTTGGGAATGTCACTTGTTTAAAGGACGCCGTGAAGTTTTTGACGTACACGTATTACTTCAGAAGACTGTTGAAAAACCCCAATTATTATGGATATGACGGAAAGATCCAAATTGGGAAGTTCTTAGTGAGTAAAGTGTTAACTGCCATTGAACAATTAGTGAGTGCGAAATGTATCACATACGAAGACGGGGAGTTACAAGCGACTTCTATTGGGAAGGTAGGAACGATGTATTATATCTCGTACTTGACTATCAAGATGTTTGCTGTGAGAATGCGGAAGAACTTGAGTCACCAAGAGATCATCCAAATCATCGCAGACGCTGCGGAGTATAACAATCACCCTGTTCGACATGAAGATGACAACCACTGTCGAACCTTATCGAAAAGTGTTAGATATGGCAGTGTTAAAGGCTCTTTTGATGATCCGCACACAAAGGTTTTCTTATTGTTAAGCGCGTACTTTGGAGATAATACACTTCCAATAGTCGACTTCGTCTTGGATACTAAAAGTGTCTTAGATCAAGCTATTCGAATAGTTCAAGCATTCATTGACATAGTAGCGGAGAAGGGGTATACCGATGTTGTAGTGAGAGCTATAGAAGTGTTACAAATGATAGGAAGTGGTCGATGGGTCTTTGAGTCTCCTTTGTTAACCCTTGCGGGTGTTTCGCAGAAGAACGTCGTCAAATTTGAGAGACAGAATTTGAGGTACTTGCCCCAATTCTTCGGAATGGAACAAAGTGCATTAACAAAGGCGTGTAAGACGGCAGGACTTAACTCGAAGCAAACAGATCAAATTAGAACACAAATCGCGAAGTTGCCCCGAGTCGATGTTAAATTGATCGTCCCCGAAAAGGTCGAAATTTGTGATGAGATATTCGACATTTCTATCAATTTAGTCAGACAGAATCAAGGATCAAATTACGCGTTTTTGCCACGCTTCCCCAAGATGAAACAAGAAGGGTGGTATGTCATTGTTTTACGACCAGATGGGAGTTTGGCAGCATTGAAAAAGGTTGGGATCAAGAAGGCCACAAATGTCACATTGATGTGCGTCTGCCCTGTGATCACAGGGACGTTCAACTTCAAGGTCCTCCTCTTATCGGATTGTTACCTTGGTTTGGACCAGCAGTACGAGTTGCCAGTCACATTCGTGTAATTATTTAGTGAATTCGTTCTCTTAGTTCTTTACTATAAAGTATAGTAATTTTACTTATTTCATTCTATTCGTATAGTTCTATTTTTAAAACTATACTCTTATAATACTTATATTATTAATGTTTAATAGTGATGTTTTATAAATATAATAGAGTGCATCTCAATTAGAGTAGACAAGAAGATACGCCATTGCGTTTCTGACCTCTGTAAAGTCTGTTTTAATGATCTGTTCGTCGTTGCAAAAGAACCAATTTGGGCCTCTTCTTACATACGCAACATAATGTCCTCTTCCTATATTATTTCCTCTGTGTTCGACGACCACACTGAGCTTATAATTGACACTCTTCTTCCCAACTTTAAGACTGAGTGTTTCTTCAAATGAAACGTGATCTGTGATTTTAACCACTTTTAATTGCACTCTGTCGTAAATGAATCTGTTGAATTGAAGCACTAAAACCTTTGGAAATTCTTCTATGGAAAGTGTTTGGACTATATTCCCTTCAACCCTTCTTGATGTCGCCAAATTATAACACTCATTTGTGGTTTTACAACAATCCTTTCCCTTCTGAAGAGGGACGGAGAAGATATAAAAGTCCTGGAAAACAGCTTTGTTTGCCTTTTTCTTGGCATCGACAGTCGTTGTTGTCATTCTTGTCTTCCCTCTGAACACTTCAGACACACAACTTTTCCCGTCCGATTTCTCCGTGCGCAAACTAATTTTCTTCGACTTTTCTCCAACCTCTTCCCACCCGTCGTCATCTTCTTCTTGAGTCTCCTCCGGTTTTTGGATCTTCAAACTTTCGACGTGAAGCGCGTTAATGACGGTCGTATAGAATTCTCCCGCATCCATTTGTCTCTGGCCACTCTCTGTTTGGAGGTCTATAATGATCTTCCTCATTTCTTCTGGGGGATCAATCGACTCTCTAATGATACCAGGCGTCTTCGACTCCAACAGTGGCTTCAACATTTTCTTCAAAGCAAAAGTATATGGCGTCTCCGTTGTCGGCTCAACCACTTTGAGGTATTTAATTAGGGCTCGCTGACTACATAATATTTGAAACACACTATTTGCAAAACACGTCGAGCGGAAGTTCTTAATCCCAATTATCGGAATTTCAATCGGGGTACTTGTCTTTGGGGCTTCTGACATTTACTTATCTAGTTAATATGTTAGATAAGAATAGTTTAATTATGGTTTAATTAGTAGTTTTGTATATGAGTCTTGAGTTGTTACAAAAAGCAAACCAAATATCAAATTCATATTAAGTATTTAAACTATCAAAGATATACGAAAGGTTATATATTAAAATATATTAAAAACATATTAATATTCAAATTAAAATAAGAATATGACAACACTAAAACAAATATTTATGCTTTTACAACAGTCCCGAACAACCCACTTGCAACACCCGCGACGTCTTCATCATCATCAGCAAGCAACTGAAAACAGCGTTCTTTGATCTTTTCGTTTTCCATTATCTGGGCTACTTGTTATTTCCAATGAGAGACACCACTTCAATAAGTAACGATGTGACGACTTATAATACTTGGAATATACTTGTGTGATTAACAGAATTCAATAAATATAAAACAAACGATATTTTGAAGCAATGAGATGGATGGCGTGGCACAGGTGTATTCTCACATTAGGAACAGGATCATCGGCTCGTTGCAAAAAGAAAGGCATATAGAAATTGTCCAATTTGGCCAAAGCATCGTCCATTGACTCGGCTTGCCCAAAGACAAACGCGACAAACTCGACAATGACTTTTCTCCGATGGTAATTTCTCTTTGACAATACAATGAAGTTACTTCTGATTTTGTCTTGAAACTCTTTCGATGATATCGTGAAGACTTGCGCAGTGACTTCTGCGGCCTTCGATCGAGTCGCTGCCATCGGGTCATTCAATAATTTAAACAAGTAGTTTTGCACATCCACTGACTCCCCAACACATTTCACAACTCTCCCAAAACTCGATGCAATTTGGAGTCTGACTCTCCAGAACGGGTCTTCCATGAAGCTCATAAAACATTTCATGTACCTCTGTTTTAGCTCCGGCGTGACAATTCCAATCACGTCCGCCAATGACGATATAGCAGCTAATTGCACCACCTTCTCGTCTTTCAACAAGTTGTCATAAACACCCAGGAAAAAGTTTCTGGAGTCCATCGCTTTGACGTAGGGCATGAATAACTGAAAACACGTCCCAACACTATAACGAGCCCCAGTGGCGGTAGACGACGCCAAATTCTTCACGATAGTGAATACCGTTTCCGTCTCCTTTTCCATGAAGAACAAAATTATCGAGCTCAACGACAATCCCACAGAGGTCGGAGCGTCTGGGAAAAGTCTCACTGTATCTGCTGATAAAGCAACCAAAATCGGCAGAATTTCTTTTGAGTATTGATTTGCCAATTTGGACCCGACGATATGTAAAAAGCGAGGTATTTGCTTTAACGAGACAATTGCGTTTGGTTTGTTAGCGTCTTGGACCAACGAGAAAAATGGCCTGATCAAATTTGACTTGTTTTCAACAGCGATTTCGCAAATATCTGCAATACATTCCGACGCTTTCTTTCGAACAACAAACTCTTTGTCATTAGCACCACACACTATTGCAGGTACTATCATACCGTCGACATAGTCTGTTGGAAGTTGTGTGGAGAGTAAAGCGTACGTTTTAATAGTACTTTTCCTCAACGAGAGGTCTTTTGAGACTAATAAATCTGGTAACTTTGGTAAGAGCAGTTGAATCTTTTCATCGTTCGTAAGTCGTGGTAACATCGCATCGACCAAAGCCAATCCAAACGATTGGTTTTGGCAGTCCGAATCGTCCAAAAGAAGTGCTTTAGCAACGGAGTAGACATACCCTCTAAAGTCGTTTTCATTCAACATTGGAATGACACGCTTCAAACATTTCACCGTCGACTTCTTAATCGATTTTTGACCATTGACCAACAACTCAGTGAGTGGAGCAACAAGTAACATTGCTTGGGTGTGGTATTCTTCGTTTTCCGAGACGTATAATTTACGAATGACTGGCAGCAAGTTCGATATGAGTGATGACGTTGTTGGGTCATCTTTACTTGCTAAGTAGTCGCGAAACGTCGGAACCAATTCCACAAGTTGCTCGAATGTGAGTTTTGGTGTGAGGTCATTCAACGTCTTGTAAGCGCTTTTTCTGTGCATAAGTAATGTTTTGTTCCGACAAATTCAATCATTAAATTAAGAAATACTATTGACCCAACTATATTAAAAACAAACCGTTTAGGATTTGTCTTTTTAATTGACTCGACAAAGCCCTTGAACTCGTCAGTGTTGCTCGCCATACAGAACTAATTTTCAGGTTTCGTTTTATACAAATTTTTTTTAAAATTAAACCAACTTGTTAAGTTGTTCATTTTTCCTTTTGATCAAAAAGGTGATTTTTTATTGGAATGGAAAGAATTAACTAATCTGGTAAAAAGTATAATAAAGTTTGGTACTGTTATTCTATTTATGTGATTGTTTTTGTTAACTCTTCCGTTTTGGGAGGGCAACATTCTGACAACTGAAAATGATTAATCAGATTAAAATAAGAACTATAATTATAATGGGATAATTAACTTATAATAAATTATTGGTATTTAACTAGATAAAAAGGCATTTATATTTATATATAATACTTTAATAATTGTTTTTAATTGAATAAAAAGAAAAGCCTTCAAATTTTCAAATAAAGTATTTATGTTGCCAATTTAAACATACTAAAACAATTAACTATAATTATAATAAATAAATATTATATTATAATATATACAATAATATAATAAAAATAAATTATAAAATACAAATGGTTACATTATAGAAAGACTTTAAATTTTATATTTTTTAAATAAATTTTAACCAAAAGAATTCAACAAGGAAAACACAGCAGTAAATTAATAATAGTTTTTATTATCCATACAATAGTTATAATAACTCTCAAAGATTAAAGGCCAACACGAATCATCTCCCGTCGAATAATTTAAAAAGTCCAATTGAACTGTTTCTATTAAATCAAACAAATTTTGCCACTCGTCACGAGAGAGTGGTCTTACCGATTCTTGTTTTAAAAATCGAATAAAACGGTTGAGTTGTGCGTTTTGTCTTCCAAAGAATTGGTCAAGAATTTCTATACAATCATCTTTACCTATTCTTTTCTGACCGTATTCTATATTACAATCAAATGAAAAGATAAAGAGCCGTTTTGCTTGGACTCTATCATCAAGTGGGTTCTGTGGGATATACTTAACTAGTTCAGTCACTTTTTTCATATGAAATTCATCAAAACACTTTTTAAAGTTGTTGAGGGTTATAATGTTATTTTTCGCGTTGAATTTCCACGCAACCCAAAGAGCTTGTAAAGAGCTGATATCATCAATATGCAAGTCACTCATTAATGAGACTATCCCATTCATTGAAATCGTGTTGTTTGTTTGATATCTGTTGAACTCGTCTTGGGCGTAGTCTACTGTTTGCTCTTTCGGAAGACTTTGGAGACACGTCTGTGGTTCTCTCCGGCTCACTACTTTGCTGTTGCGTTTTTTGTGTATTGACAACCTTCGTGTGATAACGTGGAATGAGTGTTGTGCGCCCATGAAATGAATGGCTGAGTTGCCTATTTCCTTCTTTTAATATCATTCGTATTATTAACGACTCGAAACTTCACTCGTTATAAATGGATGGGCATTTTTAGAACCGAGAAAGTCATTTCATCGGGTTTTTTGGAATTTTTCCCGGTACAACAGCCAAATAACAAAATATCACCAAAAGGGGATTTCATAAATCATTTTCTAAATATGACGGTTTTATTTATAAAATATTCTATTTATAAGACTAACAATATACTATATTAAATAGAATTTTTAATTAATAAAATGTTAGATTATTGTTTTAAATATATTCCAAAATAATTCATATGCAAAATTCCCGATTGTGTGGAATAGATATGTATATGTTTTAGGGTGAAGTTTCATGTCACTGATTCTTTTATATTTACACACACTATTTTGATAATATAAATAACAATTATTATTACCAAATATTAATACTAATATAATAATTATTAATAATTAATAATTAATAATTAATTTTAATATATTGAATAATTGTTTTTCAGAGTTTAAAAAACAATTTTGTTAAAAAAAAGGTTAGTTTTTTTATATTCCTCTTTGTTTTTATATCGGATAATAATTAAAATGTTTTAACATATCTAATAATATAATATTGTATAATATAGTATTAAAAATGATATAACAATTTATTTCAAAAACCGATAAGTTTAATTTGTTAATTTTACAACATATTTTATATTCCCAACACAGTTAATTAAAGTCAAATTGAATTAAATTTTGTTATAAATTATTAATAAATTAATTGGTATATTATAGTAATAAAATTATAGTAATTTAATTGTTTTATAATAATTTGTTTCATTAAGAATCAAACTAATAATCAAAGGTTTTCAAAATCACAATCCTAATTACCCACGTTACCATTTTATAACCAAAATGTTCATTTTCTCTTATAAATTCGTACGTTATAATACCACATTTTCGGCAATAATTATTTTGGAAACGCCTGCTTATAATTGAGTCCACTTGACACATAAAAATAATATAAAAAATTTTAATTTTGCATCGCCGTACATTTTTAAAAATTTGGAGACAAATATATGAAAAAGTAATATGCAAATACCTAGTTTTCACCGTCCCAATAGAGCAAATCTCTTTTGAACCAATTTGCCCTCCAAACGCTTTTAAGAAGTGTAGGTACTTCAGAACAAAGGTAACTCACTTGCATCTTTTCCGACCCCAATTCTTGGAATTGTATTGATGAGATTATACTACCAAGTATTTCTTTTTCAATGACACTCATCCCCTCAAAATTGAATGAAGTGACTTCATTACTTCTCTGTGCAAATGTGTACGACGAGAGTGACTTCACAATTTTTGATGTTACAGTTTGTTCATTGTGAAGATATGAGAACATCCGTTGCACGTCTTCATTCGATGTGCCAAACACTTCAGTTAAGAAACAAAAAGTAGACACCTCACGCCCGCAATTTTGTGTGTTTCCGATTTCTTTTAATGCGTTAACAAAAATGTCCGTGAGTGGAGATATAATGTCAAACAATGGATTACCAATACATGCTATTTGTAGTTTCTCACTCTCCTCAATACCTAAACATTTCTCAACAAAGGGGTGACATACAATTGTCACACTTCCACGTGTCGTGTTATTGATGTCATCTATTACATGTTTTAACGTTCCTTTCACCCACTTTTGGACATCCCTCAGTGTCATTTTCCACTCGCAATGTTCACCAAAGTCGACATTGAGGAATTTCAGTTTGAGTTGGTCTCTGGTGTTACTGTCACAGAAACATAAGACTCTTCTATAACACCCACTCTGGTCAACACACACGATCATCCAATCTTCAAGTGTTTCTTTCTCAATAGACATTAATTCTTTACTTTGTGTTCCATTCAATGCAACAACTTCTTTAAGACTTTGGCTCCCAACAAAGTCGATACAAAGTGTCACATTCTTTGTACATACTGGAAGGTGTTGTGTGAACGTCATCCACTCTTGACTTGTCTGTTGGTCCTTTACAGAGTCTTTATATGCTTTGTCAAACACTTTACTACCACTTCCCACATTCGTTGTCACAAACTTTTCAGTATTTAAAAACACAATGATTTGCTCTTCTAATTCGATTCGGTTTACTCCACACCTTTCAATGTAAAAATCCAAAGTATTTCGTGTAAATGCGACTTTGTTCTGCGTCATCTCTGTAATATTTTGTGTCACAGAATTCACGTTATCACAGTGTAACACTTCTTCACACAAATTCGTTGTTTTTGTGACAGTCGATAAGACATTTTCAGTCTTAATTTTCTGTGGTTCTTTCACATCTTCTTCACTTTCATCTCCATCTATTTTAGTCTCTTCCATCTTTAGCTTCTCACTCTCCACTTTGCTCTCCTTTTCTTCATTCTCACTAAATTCTCTTTTCTTTTCTCTTGGTTTGACTTCTCTCTTACTCAAAAGTTCTTTCACTCCTTTAAAATACTCCTCTTCATTCCACTTCGCATCGCCTAAGTACTCTTCAGACCACTTGAGTAAATCGGACTTTGACTCGTCGACCCTCTTCAGTATTTCCACAAAATTTGTTTTCAACTTTCTATTGCCGAGGGGGTACTTGTTCTTCAGTAACGCAGAAAATTTATTCAATGGGTTGAACACATCAAACCCTTCGTCTTGTTCAAACAAAAATTCAATGTTTTCCTTTTCAAACACCTTTTTCACCATTTCTGCTATCTCTTTGTATGCCCCATTCATTATCACATAACACTTCTCTGTGTTTTTAGTGTTTTTGTTTTGGGATTTGATAAATTGGAGCAACACATCCTCTAACCACATCTTCAATTGTTCTTTGGTAATCACCCCAGTATGGCTCTCTATAAATAACGCCTTGTCCTTCATATCCTTCTTGGGTTTTCTTATGTTTGAAATGGCAAACAAAGGAAGCACACTGTCACCTATACCATTGCAGCTGATAAAAATATTCGAAAGGCAACTCCTCCTTCCACAGACTTTCACATTCTCATTGAACACCGTCAACGTCCCAACAAGTTTCTTGTGATAAAACTGCGTACCAAGTTCTTCAACAAAGAAGACGTTTTTAGGATTTGTTCCATTTAAAGTGGCTCTTACCTTTTGGTGAAAAGACAAACAGTTTTTGAAGGTAGTAAGACGAAGGGTAGCCAAGACCGTTCGTTGGTTAATTTTTAATTCTTCTGAAATATGTTTGACCTTCGAGTGATAATTAATTTTGAGATCATCTAATATCGAGTAAATAGTGTTCAATGTAACTATTTCGTTGGTATCTGTAATAGTTGATATATCATTCATTACTTTGTGTTTTAAATCTGAAGGTATTATATTAGACGCATTAGTCAATTTCGATTCGTCACTATGATGATTGATGTCTTCTTGTGATGAAGAAAGCGACATCGTTATTTAAAATTGTTTTTTCCGTTCTTTTCATTTGCATTTTTTTAATACATAACTCTAACTCGATTATAAATTAAATGTTCAAATATTATTTAATTTTTATATTATATTATTATAATTATTATTTTTTTAGTATGTTATAAAATATAGATGTTAAGACCACCAGAAAATAGTTGTACAAGTAGTTTTATAGTATTTTTATGTAAAATATCGGGATTTTTTTTCAAAAGCCATTTTTTTCCTGATTGTTCAGTTAAATTATATGTGTTAAATTTTATTCTGATTTTTTGGTTTGTTAAAAAAAAATAAAAGTGTAATATTATTATTTTACTTTAATTTTATTATTTTGAATTAATAATGTAATAATATATTTCATTCTTATTCGAATTATTTACTATTCAAAAAATTATATTTTTTGATTTCTTTAAAAAAATAGATTATAATAGTTAAATAATAATAATAATTTTTAGAAATGGTTTATTGGAGGAAGATTTTGTTTTTAAATAAACACACATCAAAATAATGACCAATATAAACATCAGTTTAATTTTTACCATCCAAAACTATTAATACAATAAATTACAAAACTATGAAAAAGTAGAATCATGTCACAGAATGAAGAAGAGCTGTTTACTAAAGTGACTCTTCTTTCGTTTGAAGTAACTTTTAACTCGACATTGCAAACAACACCAACACAGTTATGTGTATTCGAGCCGAGGATTGACGACTCCCAACTTATTAATTTAGAGAAGAACAAATTAATTGTATTGACTATACCAAAAAAGTCAATACTAACCCGCTTCAATTCAAAGCCCCACGAGATTGCTACTATACAACTTTTATATACTAAAGTCGAGGATAACTTGGAGGAATACTCTAAAGTCCGTGGGAAGACTCTATGCGTTGTGGAGACTATAGACACGCGGAAGAGAAAACTTGTATTATGTTTCGACTCAAAACAAGACCGCGAGAGGTGGAAGAAAGTACTGAACACATACACTTCGTCCGCTAAAAACTTTTCACTCTTCGGGGTCGACCTCCGCGACTTACATAAATTGTCGGGGAAAATTGTCCCTCCATTTCTTATGTTGTGTGTAGTTGCGATAAAAAGAGACTCAACCACTCTTTTCACAGACGTCGCTTCGCAAACACTTTCATTCACAATGTCTTCAATCGAACACGGAGAAACAACAGAGTTGTCTCCTCAAGTCGCGTTTTGTGTAATCAAAGAGTTTCTCCGTCGACTCCCCCTTCCTGTCTTTCACCCACTTTTGGAGTTTTTGAATCCAGACAACATGAAAGTCGACAAAATGCGGAGGGTTGTGAAAACTGTTACAGAAGAGCAACGGGGTGTTATTGATGTTGTTTTCGAGTTATTAAATTACTTATCGAAGTTCGATCCACAGCACTTCAGTCCAAAAACACTTGCAAAAGCAATTGGGACCAGTGTTGCGTGGGACAGGACATGTGCAATCTCGTCTGTTGTGTTTGAAGTTGTCGAGTTTTTCATTAAGTCGTATCAGCTTATAATGAAGGAAAACTTTGAAGGAATAGGACAGTTACACAAAGACACCAACTTTCAGATGCTTTCAAAATAGTTTCTTTATTATTATTATTATTCAATATTCAATTGGAGACTTAGAAGGAAGTTTCTTATTGTTTAATTCATTTGTTTTTTGTTTTATTGTTATAAGTTGGTATAAAAGTTTGTGTTATGAACGGGAAGTGACATAAAAATAAATGACATCAGTGAATAGTATTGAATGAGAATGAGTCGTTGTTTGGTAGTAATGTGTCTAGTATATAACACTCTTCACACCCTTCTGTCTCAACTTCAACTTGTTGGTCAAATGCTTTGCTCGTAAGTTGTAAATCACTGCAATATGATACATCCAACGATTCCATGTCATTTGGCAAGTCCAATGTCAAATTAGAGTAATTTGAAAGGGAAAGTGCCTTTACTGAGTGATTTGATAAGTCGATGTGGATTTTGCTATTTTGGATATCCTCACGCTCTTCGGAAGACAACTCTGGTTGTAAAAATGAAAGAGACAATTTTTCAAATGAACTACTTTCTATAATTTGCTCAAAAAAAGAGGAAGAAATGGAAACCTCAAAAACAGTTGAGAATTCAAATGTTTTGCACGTAACATCAAAAATCGTGACGGATTGAACTGATAATATTTTCATAGAGATGTCGTCCATAGTCAACAACGAATTTTCAGAAGTTATCTTACAGTTATGAGACTCGGATATTTCAACGTGGTCCAAGCATAGAGAAGAAGCTGCAAGTGTTACATTTGTTGTATTGAGAAACGTGATTTCTTTGATACACTCTGGAAGTTGTAAATTCAATGGCACCTTCATTTTAACACCACTCAATGTTAATTCCTTCAAATTGTATATCGCAAAGTTGACAGACGGAAACACGGGACTTTCTACATTTTCTGCCCACATCTCAAAATTTAACGACTCGACTTTGGACGGAAAAATTACTTCAAATTTTTGGTGTCCTAAAATCCGGAGGGTGACTTCTTTTGTTGCCTTCTTTGTGTAGTCAAATGTTTTGTTTGAAACGACGCCTTCTTCGTATATGAGAGCAACAGTGTCGTGGTGTTTTGAACTTAAAAACTGATCTAAACTCCCTTCAAATCCCTCTTCTTTGTTCATCGACATGAGTTTATATATTATTAGTTTATAGTAATTTATAGTAATATTGTTTATTAAAATACTTGAGGGAATAGTATTCTTACATTATATATTATAATATTGTATAATTAATATAATATTATTTGTTAACTATAAATAATCGTTTATTTTTTTGAAAATGTTAAACAAATAACAAAATTTGATGTGTAAAAATATTAAAAATGTTTAAGATCTAATTTTTTTTGTAATAATTAAATAACAAATAATTAATAGTTTGATTATTTAAAGTATATAATATATTCATATATTATAGTTTTTTAAACTAATAAATAAATACTAATAAATATGGAGAACTTCATAAAGAGACAAAGTGTGTATGAAGAGAGTTGATTTAAACACGATCACGAGCTTAAATGAATATTGCACGCGTTTTGGGATATCAAAGGCTCCGATAAAAGAACTTGAAAAAATCCAAACAGACGTTGACTATGAAGTGGGTCTTCAACAAGTGTTTTCATTCTATCGCTGTCTAAAAACGTTGACTCAAAAAACAAGTGTTTGTGTTCTTTCACGTCTTATTTTCAACAAAAAGTATTAAGAAAATAGTTGGGCAAAGTCGAACAAAACGGGTTTTATGCAAAAGTGTTAAAGAACTCTGGTTTAATTGATGTTGGGAAAAAGACTCAACTCGACGAAATAATTGCAGACAAAATCATTTCAATAACAGTTCCAACTTTTGATATCGGTGTAGTCAATTTGGAAAACAATGACTCAGTGTCTGTTAAATATGAAATTGCTTTTGGATTCAAACAAAATGCGTTTGTAAAAGAGTTGCATTATATCACATCGTTTGTTGTCGACTGCACTAACCAGATAGATCAAGTCGAAGTCAAAACAAACCACAAGTGGACCAATAAAACTAAAGACGGGTTCTTCTCACAACTCGAGGAGTTAGATACACAACTCTTACTGATCGAAAAGGTCATTCCATACTCATACGACTATTTCACGGGTGTGCTTCCACCATTTGCTCTTGATGAGGACGTTGATGAACAATTTGATGATTTAGACAATTATGGAGATGATTACGACGAGTACGACGATTATATGTAATACAGTTATGAGTTCGTGTTGTTTCAGTGCAAAGATACTTATTATTATTAAATTAAACTATTAAACAACTCATAAAAAGTGGTCTAGTTGTTTAATAAATAAGTATCTATTAATTTAAAAGAGAGAAGACAACGTGGCCGAGTGGTCCAAGGCGTATGACTCGAAATCATTTCTCATTTGAGGCGTAGGTTCAAATCCTGCCGTTGTCGTTTTTCTTTTTAATAATCATTATAATTTTTGTTTCATATAAATATAGTATATTTATATAGATAGCATATTAAGTAAAGGATAATAAGATGGCAAGAGTGGCCGAGTGGTCCAAGGCGCTCGTTTCAGGTACGAGTCTTTTCGAAGGCGTGGGTTCGAACCCCACCTCTTGCATTTTTATTTTTTTATTTTTTTAATTATTAAAAAATAAAATAATAAAGCAGTAATAAACGATATTGTTTGTACGCTTAAATCTGGCATAAATGAATTTAGGAAACCCGCATTCGTTTTTTCTTTTTTCTTTTATTTTACAATCTTTTACAAAAAATACTTTTTTGCTTTAAAAAAACATCTAAAAAAACAATGGCTAGAAGATTTCAAGAAGAAGAAGTCGAAGAAATAGAAGAAGAAAACACAGACGAAGAAATGCAAAACTATCAAGACAACAGAATACGCATGAATTTGAGGTTACTTAATAGAACCAGTTGAACACCCTTGGAGTGGGAACTGTTTTCTTTAATGCAAATCAAATAATAAGAAATCTCTTTCAAAATTTAAAGGAAAAATTGACAACTGCGAGACCTGTCAACTCAAACAACGATACTGAAGAACAAATTGATATTGTCATGTCATCCACAGCACCAATAAAGAGTTACACGGAAAAAGATGTCAACAAGAAAGTTAAAGAAGGAAAAAAAGAAGAAAGATATCTTTTATTTGTTAAAAGTATAACACAAAAAATCTGTACATTTGAAACCGCAATGAAACTATTTGAAATTAAAGAAAGAACAGCAAGAAGAATCTTGGAACGATTTGACAACGGAATAGATGTTATCGGATCTAAAAAAGGAAGAAAAGAAGGACAAAAAATATCTGTGACATTGGAAACCACACTTTTAATTAAAAAGTTGATAAATGAAGGAGCCACTTTAACTTTGAAACAAATTGCTGAAGCAATTGAAAACGAATCAAATAACAATACAAACATAACCAAATTATCAGAAACTTCAGTAGATATTCTCATAAAGAAAATGGGTTATTCATTTAAAAGGATAGGCAAAGAACCAATTGAAAGAAACAGTTCACTTAATATAAAAAAGAGACAAATTTGGGGAAGCACGTTTATCGAACTTGAAAAACAAAGATGTAATTTTGTATGTGTTGACGAGTCTGGATTTTACATTGGTCAGTTAAGGAATTATGGTTATTCAAAAATCGGAAAATCAGTTAAAGTGGTGACAGAAAAAACAAAACAGCCAAATTACAGTTCACTTGCTGCTTTGATACCAGGTGTTGGTATGCGAGTTGAAACCAAATTTGGTTCTTATCACAATTCAGAATTTCTCGTTTGGTGTGAACATAAACTGATTCCTTGGATTGAAGATACTTTTAGTCATCGTGAAACAATAGTAGTGGTGATGGATAACGCAAAAATTCACGTTAGAGGCGTAAATCAACTGTTTTGGAAGAAGAAGATCTTCGTTCTAAAAACGATACCATATTCTCCACAGTGCAATGCCATCGAAAGATCGTTTTCACAAGTGAAAGCATACGTTTCTAGGTTATATTCTAACAGATTGTTGTTTGCGGAGCGATTGACAATAGTAAAGAATAACCTGTTAGAGAAAAGGTATCAAGAGTTGATTGAGCAGACAATTAACAAACACCGTGCTGCAGCAATCGGAGATGTTTATGATGCAAGGAATTTGGAAATTGAACTGAGAAACTTGGAAACTCAACATGAAAGAGAACGTGTACACATTAATGCAGAAACCACAAATCCACTTGTTGATAAAATTGATAGTGTGGTATTCATAGAATTGATACAAAATGCATTTTCTGTTGTTTCAGAACAAAACTGTACCAATTATCACGTTCACACGTTGAAAGTTGCTTTTTGTTGTACTCTTGAAATGCCACTAAAAAAACGACGATAAATTTACACGCGATGTTGAGATAACCGATCCTGTATTATCTGCAATTATTGATTCCTATTGTGATAATTGATTATTTTTCGAAATGACAATTAAAACTTTTTATTACCAAACTTTTTGTAAATTGTGTTTTGCTTTTTGGAACAAAAATGGGGTTTTCCATTATGCCAGATTTAAGCTTACAAACAATAATATAATATGGTATTATAATAACAATTCTAAAAAATATGTAACAGTTTATTATATCCATAATTAATAATATTATTAAACAATAACAATAATTAATAACAAAACCAATCACTCAATCATTTTTTGTTATCTTCTTTGGTTTGAGTTCACTCTTTTTTTTCTTCATTAATTCCATCTGGTCTTTCACTACTTTTCCTTCTCCCATCTTTTGGGTCAAAGCCATTTCAACAAGTTGTTTTCTCATCAAACATTTAATCTCAAGTTCTTTGTAAGAATCGACCAAATCACCCAGTAATTTCACATTCGATGAATCGCACACAAAATCCACCTCTTTATACTCACACTTAAACAAGACCAACGGGTAAGCTGGGGCGTACTTAAAGAAGTCTGGTTTTGTGAAGTTATTAACATCCAACAAATCTTTGATCGTCTTTGGGTCCGTCCCACTCCCGACTAAGAAAAGTGCGCCCACCATATATCTCACTTGGTGCCACAAGAAAGCAGTTCCTTTCACAACAAATCGACTTAAATGAGTTACTGGTTCGATTTCAAAGCTCAGCACCTTTCTGTTGCAATGATCCACAGCCGGATCCTTTTTACAGAAATTTGTGAAGTCGTGTTCGCCCACAAAGTATTGTGCTGCTTGTTTCATAGCTTCCACATCATATCCACTTGGATCGAAGTAATAATGGTATGTTCTCGATAGACAACTAAATCGCGAGTTGAAATCGTCTGGTACTCCACACCACCCAAGGCACCTAATATCGACTGGTAACGTGCTATTAGTTATTATTATTATTAATAGTTATAATTATTAATAGGTATTATTATTATTATTATTATAGTTCAACAAACCTATTGATCATTCTACAATAATCATAATCCCCATCATGTTGAGTGTAATCAATGATGTCCGTTTTAAGTGAACTCCTCACCCAAAGATCTATGACTTGCCCAAACCCTGAAACATCTTTGTCTGTTCTTCCGCATCGACTGTACTTACAATCTTCTTTACTGTTAATCAACTTCGTCTTAAATAGTGATTGGAAGAGGTAATACTCTATAGTGTTGTCATTCTGCAATTTTTGATAATTCGTGAGGTTTGCTTCGTTGAGAGTGGACGACGCAAACCCGCAATACCCTATCCCAACGTAACTCAAATGAACTGCAATATGTCGTGTTTTGAATGCAGAAAAGTCGAACACACGCTCTTTCTTCGTTTTAGTTTCTCGCTTCTCTGTTGTTTGATTTATTTCATTAGTAAGGGGCTGTACGTTACTCATATGTTTCAATAGATTCTAGTTATAGTTTCTTAAAGTTCCTATTCCAAACCATATTTGAAAACGTCATAATTCTGTTTTTAATTAATTCTATTATTATTAAATAGTTTAATTATTATGCTATAAAATATAGTTAAAGTAAAACATTATAGTAAAAATGTTAATAGTGTATGTACAGACAAACAACCAAAATTTCACCAAAAAGAGTTATTAAAAATAGCCCTTATCACGCCACTTGGGCGTCATCATCCTCTATGTCGTCAACCAAGGACAACGCAGAGAATGCTGCCTTAAGGTTCTTGGCAGGTAAAATTGGGTCTGCTTTCTTGTAATACCCAATGACAACAACGTTCTGTCCTCTGATGATATTGATACCCTCGTTATCTCTCACTGCAGTTACCATCCCATCTATGGAATCGGAATTGGTCACTGAGAACTTTTTACCATCAACCATCACACCATTGGAACACATTGAAGAAACCTTTTGCTCATTAAAAGTGTCTGCTATGGTCTTCGCTTCTTCAACTGAAATGTGAATTCCTTCTTGACTCAAAATCGCACCATCAGACTTCAAAATAATTCCACCATCCCCACATGACGGCAGAGTAAGCAACTTTGACATGTCAGCCCAACTCAATTTGCCATTCTCAATTTTCTGTAACTCTTTGTGGAATATTGACGGCATCACAACTTTGTTATCTTGTGGAAGATTTCCATCATTAATTAAGGTCTTCAGCGAGTAAGTTGCAATGTGATTTTGGCCAGCAGTGACCGGCTTTGAAGTATTGTTATAGTAACCAATGACTATAGTATTCTTTCCTTTGACTATATTAATTCCACTGTTGCCTTTCATTGCTGTAACTACACCTTCCTCTTTGTCGGAATTGGTCACTGCATATTTGTGATTCCCAATGGTCACTCCGTTCATCTGGAAATAGTCCACCTCACCTCCAATTACTTTCTGGCTGATAAGAGTTGCTTCTTCTTGATTGAGATTGAGGCCTTCTTGATCAACAATTGCTCCAGAATGAGTCAACACGGCTACTCCATGACCTTTTCCTTCCGACTTGATTGCTTCAAACCCGCCTTTGTAATCAAATTGCTTGACTTCTTTAACTTCTTCTTTCTCAAATTTCTCCACAACGTTATTTGAGACCACAGTTAACTTTTTCTCTTCCTCAATAGTGTATTTCTCAAGTTCTTTGGCAAGTTTGTATGTTGTGAGGTGATTATCAGTAGGTAACACTCTTGACGTTTTCATGGTGAAGTACCCAACAACAATGATATTGTTTCCTTTAACAACATTGATCCCTTCATTCTTCTTCATAGCAGTAAAAACGCCTTCGTTGTCATCTGAATTGGTCACTGGGAATTTCTTGCCATTGACTTTGATTCCGTTTTCTCTCAGAAGGGTATAATTGTTCTCTTTAAACACCTCTGCAAGTGCTTTCGCTTCTTCTTCAGTCATTTTTATTCCATCTTGTCCAAGTAATTGTCCGTCACTTCGTAAAATTGCCCCACCATGTCCCTTCGTTGGTCCAACAAGTAACTTCACCAAGTCATCCCAACTGATTTCTCCCTTTCTCTTCAGTGCAGAAAACTCCTTTCTAAAAACAGATGGTACAGAAAACGGAATTTCTTTTGGAAGCTCTCCATTGTTGATAATAGTCTTCAGCGAGTAAGTTGCAATGTGATTTTGACCAGCAGTGACAGGCTTTGCAGTATTGTTATAGTAACCAATAACTATGGTGTTCTTTCCTTTGACTATATTAATTCCACTGTTGCCTTTCATTGCTGTAACTACACCTTCCTCTTTGTCGGAATTGGTAACTGCATATTTGTGATTCCCAATGGTCACGCCATTCATCTGGAAATACTCGAAATCGTTGTTGAACATTTTGTCTGCGATCAGGACAGCTTCGTTGTCAGTCAAATTGATTCCACTTTGACTCATGATATTCCCGTTGCGTCTGACAACTGCACCACCGTGGCCATTGGTAGTTTCGGTCAGCACAGACATTGCTTTAGTTAATGCTTGCATCGTTTTGTTCATCTCTCTGAAATTATTATTAAATAATGGCTTTAAATATTATGGTCTTGATTTTTGAATTGTTACTTGTTATGTGAGATTCTATTTGGTATAGTTTCCTGAAATGTTATATAATTAATGAATTAAAAAATGAAACTTTTTGAAGAAACATAAAACTTCAACCATTGAAGTTTTTAAAAGTGAAAACTTCAATAAACAGAGTTATGTTACTCCACTAACATGTAATAAAAAAGGAAGTATAATTGCTTTTGGTATGTTTTTCGTATGGTTTGTAAAATTATAAATATGTTATATTGAATTTTTAATCTCAAAATTATTATAAAAATTTACATTATATTTAAATTCACAGTTAACTATATAAAAACTAATAAAAAATACCTTTTTAAATTAAAAATTGATTTACTTTTGATTTCATAAATTGATGATTTGTTTTCAATTGAGCAATATTTGAACATGTTTAAAATGCTGAGTGACGTACTTTTGAAAGATATTGTACTTATTCAGAAAACACATTTTTTTGAACCAATTATTATTGTATATATTATTGATTTATTTTTAGTATTGTTGTTAAAAAATATATCAACAACATGAGTTTCAACGAAGTACAATTGTATCGAATACAAATCTTAATATTAAACACAATTATTTCACAACATAAAAACATCATAATTAATGGCTTACCATTTAGTCTTCTGAAAAGGAATAATCTTCATCATCAAACTCATAGTCGTTTTGTTCCTTTATTGCTTCATTGACAGTAATTTTCTTAGTTGCTCGTTCTATCATTTCTTTCATTTCTATTCTGTAAAGAATTTCTCTTTCTTCTCTTAAAATGGGTTCGATTGTGTTATTTCCGATTCTCTCCAAGATCTCTGGATATGAATAATCTTCAAACACTTTTTTTACTATTGTGTACTCAGAAATATAAATTGTTTTGGTCTTAATATTTGTGTTGTTAATTTGTTCAAACAACGCCCTTGCAAGATCAATCAAGTTTTGTTTGGTGGTTTTAAACATCTTATGAGTGATATTGTTCACTGCAACAACAAAACTCTCTGAAGATATACGATGGTAACAATATGAATTATTCTGAGGATGCGCTTGAGCATAAATCTGTTTGGCGTGATTCATCACAATAGCACCATAATTCTTTTCGACTCTTCGTGGGTAATTCGCATTTTCCATTGTAACTTTGTATAACAACCCATTCCCAAACACTCTAAAATTCCTATTGAAAAGGTTACACTCAAACGAGTCTGTAAAACTGATCTCAAATGCGTTCTTCTTTGCTTTGTCCAATGCTTTTTGACTCACCACTTTATTTCCAGTATAGTTTTCTTTCGTATTTACATCTTCGACTTTGGGGATGAACTCATCGTCAACTCGATCTCTCACTTTCCCATTCAATTTAGGCAAATACCTTCCAACTATGTCTTCGGGAATACAGACGTCTTTCACGAACTGCTTCTCAGCAGCAAATTGTTTGATTTTCTCTTCAGACTTTTTCACTCGGTCAAAATAAGAAGCTTTCATATCCAAATCAATGACATGTGGATTCTTGTGATCCAACACAAGTACGAAGTGGAGTGTGTTGTACTTCGTTAAACGTTTCAGTTCATCGTCATGCTCAACAAATTCATCATTCTGCTTTTGGAGCCTTTCTATTTGTTTCATCTTCAATTTAATGATGTTATTGATTGACTCTATTGACTCTTCGTCGTACACAAACTCCTCATTGCCTTCTGGAGATATCGTGCTGATTTTGCTTTTGGGATCTTTCAATAGAGTTATTGTCTCTTCCAACGAAGTAATGATAGACTTAACTGTTTTGACATTTCCATCCACTTGATTGTACTTTTTAATTCTGATTTTCAAGTCTCTCTCAGGCTTCTCCGCTTCGTATTTCTTTTGAATGTTTCTGAGGAATTCGTCGCCTTCCTTTTTGTAGTCATTCATGAACTTTGCAGCTCTTCGTGTCATGTTATTAAGTAAAGAGAGTCCATAATTGTAGAACAGTGCAATCAAAATTGGTTCTCTTGAGATGCCAATTTTGGCTGCGGCGTCGACTAATTCGTAAAACACTTTTTGCGTCTTTTTGGCGGCTGAAAGAACAGTTTTGGACTTTTCTGTCTTGAGACGCTCATCAAGGTCTTCAGCAATTTTGACGTGTCGTAATTTCCTTGAGATATTAGCAAGTGGTTCTGGGAATGAAGAGAAAAAAGTACCGAGGTTGTACTGAGGAAGATCAGATTCAATGACTTGAGCAAGTTTCTCTGCTGGAAGTCCTTTTGATTGTTCCAAGCCAATGACCTCGGCGTTAATAACATTAATACATTTATTAATACGTGCTCTGCGCTGTGATAATTGTTTTACAGTGGCTGAGTCGCTCTTTTTTATTTTTCGTTGTTCGGCGAGTTTTTTTTCGTCAGTCACTTTCTTGACATACACCTTCGACTTTTGGGTGTTGTGTTTGTTGTGAGTTGGCTGGGTGGGTTTGCTGAAGTCGCGTTTTTGATAAAGGGATTTGTCAGAAACACGGAATGGGTTGGTTCGGATACGTTTTAATACTGTTTCCATTGAATGAATGTTTGAATTGTATATTTTTCTGGTTTATTATATCCACAATCTGGCATTTAAAGAGTTAGATATAAATAATGAAAGTTCGGTAGTTTTTTGAATGATTTTTTTTATAATTTAAATAAACTGATTTATTGGTTTTTGTTGTGAGGTTTTGGAACTAAAATTGTGTTATACTTATAATTAATAAACTATTAATTATAAGTGTTTTTATTATAAAAATATTTATAGAAGAAATATTAACGTTTAAAAAACTAATAAATTTAAATATTTTTCATTTGAACTTAATTTATTAAAAAAAATGATATAAATAATTATAAGGGGACAATAAGTAATGATATTTTTTAATTAAAAAAACTATTTTAATCAAGTTTTTTATTTTTTTTAATTTTTATTTTAACATTTGTAAACTGTTTTTCAATCTTTGTTGTTGTGTTGATAACATATTCAATATATTTTCACAACATAACTTATTCCATTGGGTTCATTTGATTATCAATAATATTGTGCCAAATGAAAAACCTAAAGAAGATATAATCAAATCCCATAAATTTATCTGTTATTATTTAAATAATGATATCTTTCTTTATTTTTCTAATTAATATGTAGTAATAAATGGAAAAATATTAATTTAAAAGAGAGAAGACAACGTGGCCGAGTGGTCCAAGGCGTATGACTCGAAATCATTTCTCATTTGAGGCGTAGGTTCAAATCCTGCCGTTGTCGTTTTTCTTTTTAATAATTATTATAATTTTTGTTTCATATAAATATAGTATATTTATATAGATAGCATATTAAGTAAAGGATAATAAGATGGCAAGAGTGGCCGAGTGGTCCAAGGCGCTCGTTTCAGGTACGAGTCTTTTCGAAGGCGTGGGTTCGAACCCCACCTCTTGCATTTTTATTTTTTATTTTTTATTCATTAAAATAAAAAATTTCAATTAAAAATATTTTTATAAATTATGATTATTTTTAATTATATATACTATATAAATAATTTACAATTAATAGAATACAAACAAAGGATGAAACCCACTCACTTATAACTTTTTTAATCGACCTCCTCAATAGTTGGTCCCTTTGAGCTTGCTGGTTTAGCGTTGTTTCCACCCTGTGGAGCAGCACCTGCGCCTGGGAATCCTCCTGGCATTCCTCCTTGTGGCATACCGCCTGGCATTCCACCAGCAGCAGCACCTTGTTGATACATTTTAGTGAAGATTGGTTGGACCTTAGCCTCAACCTCCTTTTGTTTCGCCTCGAATTCTTCCTTAGAAGCTGATTGGTTCTTGTCCAACCATTCCAAAGTCTCTTTGACGAGGTCTTCAATAGCGGTCTTATCTTCAGCTGGCAATTTCTTTCCGACTTCTTCGTTCAAAGTGTTCTTGACTGAGTAGCAGAAGTTCTCGAGACCATTCTTAGCTTCAATTTTAGCTTTCATCTTGTCGTCTTCAGCCTTGAATTTCTCTGCATCAGCGACCATCTTGTCGATTTGTTCCTTTGAGAGTCTTCCCTTGTCGTTTGTGATGGTGATCTTGTTCTTCTTTCCAGTGGTCTTATCTTCAGCAGAAACATTCAAGATACCATTGGCATCAATATCGAAAGTGACTTCAATTTGTGGGACACCTCTTGGTGCTGGTGGGATACCAGACAATTCGAATTTACCGAGCAAATTGCAGTGTGAGGTCATTGAAGCTTCACCTTCGAAGACTTGAATCAAGACACCTGGTTGGTTATCAGCGTATGTTGAGAAGACTTGGGACTTCTTTGCTGGGATGGTAGAGTTTCTTGGGATCAAAGCAGTCATGACACCACCGGCAGTTTCAATACCAAGAGTCAATGGAGCGACATCAAGCAACAAGACGTCTTCTGTGGCTTTTCCTCCGTTTCCGGTCAAAATGGCAGCTTGAACAGCAGCACCATAAGCAACAGCCTCGTCTGGGTTAATGCTCTTGTTTGGTTCCTTTCCATTGAAGAAGTCTTGAAGGAGGGAGACAACCTTTGGGATACGAGTTGAACCACCAATCAAGACAACATCATCAATGCTTCCTTTATCGAGTTTACCGTCTTGGAGAACCTTTTCAACTGGACCGATTGTTGACTTGAAAAGATCAATGTTAAGTTCCTCGAATCTGGCTCTGGTGAGTGAGGTATAGAAATCGATACCTTCGAACAATTGATCGACTTCGATGTTAGCAGTGGCAGATGATGACAAAGTTCTTTTAGCTCTTTCGCAAGCGGTTCTGAGTCTTCTGACTGCTCTTGCATTGCCAGAAATGTCCTTCTTATACTTTCTCTTGAACTCGGCGATGAAGTGGTTGACCATTCTGTTATCAAAATCTTCACCTCCAAGATGTGTATCACCGTTGGTTGCTTTGACTTCAAAGACACCATCGTCAATAGCAAGAAGAGAGACATCGAATGTTCCTCCTCCAAGATCGAAGATCAAGACGTTCTTTTCTTTGTCGACCTTCTTGTCGAGTCCGTAAGCAATAGCAGCGGCAGTTGGCTCGTTAATAATTCTCAAAACGTTCATTCCAGAAATGGTACCGGCGTCCTTAGTGGCTTGTCTCTGTGAGTCGTTGAAGTAAGCTGGGCAAGTAATGACTGCGTTGTTAACAGTCTTTCCAACAAATGATTCTGCGGTCTCTTTCATCTTAGTCAAGACCATTGAACTGATTTCTTCTGGGGTGAACTTCTTGGTCTCACCTTTGTATTCGACTTGAATCAATGGCTTGTCATTACCATCATTGATAACAGTAAATGACCAGTGCTTCATATCGTCTTGAATAGCTGGGTCACTGAAACGTCTTCCGATAAGTCTCTTAGCATCGAAGACGGTGTTGTGGACGTTCATAGCAATTTGGTTCTTAGCAGCGTCACCAATAAGTCTTTCAGAGTCAGTGAAAGCGACATATGATGGGGTAGTTCTGTTACCCTGATCGTTAGCAATGATCTCAACACGATCGTTTTGCCAGATACCGACACATGAGTATGTGGTACCCAAATCAATACCAACAGCTGGTCCTTTGTTTGTAGCCATGATATAATTTTTTTCTATTATCACTTTATATATTCCGACATATTGTTGCCACGTACTTACGACTACGTGTCGTTTTAGTTATTTTTATGACAACCCTTTTTCAACTATTATTGGTCTTTTTTATACCGTTTTTTCGGGATATTTGTTCAATCAATAATCCACACGAAGGCGACACGTACGGACTTTCCATTATATATGGATCAGTTTGAATTTTTTATTTTTGAAGAACCTCCACTCTATTTTGTATTATATATTTTAATACATTTTACTAGTAATTTATCGGTTAGTGTTTTTTCAACAAAGAAAAAATTATTAGCTCTTCTTATTATTATTTTTACTATAAAATTTGAAGACTTCGTATTTTTGGAGATGTTCTTCCACGTCACCATTTTCCCCATTTATTTAAAACATTTTCAATACCATTTTTTCAAATTTATATAACATTTTGAATAACATATTTTACACCCAATAAAATGATTAAACAGAAAGAGTAGATATCGGCAATTAGAATTCAATCAAGAAACAATAAAAAGTGAACGAAGTCATTTCAATTTAAAATAGAATCCGATAAAAAGAGTAACAGTTGAGTGAATTTGCTTCTAAATAACTTGATAATAGTTACCACAGTATTGATCCAAATGACCAAACAACTCACGTTTTTGAGTTACATTTGAAAGGAAAGATTCTGTTCAAGTGAGTGAGCAAAACTTGAAAAAAACACCCGTTATATGCAAAACTTAGACCCCACACTAACTCCATCGGTGTTAGAGGAAAAAATTGAAATGAAGAAATACATCGACAGATTTGGTCTGCCGTGTAGCGAGACACTTGTATGCGCATCAAAGTGTTCATTGAAGACCAATTTACCCCGTCTAGGCAAAATCTATATCTTTAACCTTCACGTGTGTTTCTGGCCTCAAGTGATGAAATCAAATGCGGAGGTCTGGAAGTTTGAGGACATCGCTGGGATCACTTCACAAGGCAATGTCCTTAAAATTGTATTGATCCGACACGAGGCAATCACTGTGAGTGGTCTCGAGAACTCCGAGAAATTCATCGCAACAGCGACACAACACTGGAACGCATATTGCCTTAAAAATAACAACCAAATCACTTCAATAGTTTCTTCTTCGCCCACCCCAGCCACCCAACTCTCCGCGCCCTCCACACCACATAAAGCGTCTTTCGATGGCTTTTTGTTATCAACGGAATTTCAAACTGGGAATGAAGCAACATTGGAATGCTCCGTAAAAGACTTTTACGAGAAGTTCATTCGAAATGAAGCCAAAGAGACTTACAAACAGATCTTAACAGAGAAAGACATCTTTGACATCGCTGTGTCTGACTTTGAAGAGAACGAAAAGTGGGGGTATCTAAGAAATGAAGAATTCTCCGTGCCACTGAAAGGAATCCCATTTGGTCCACAAGTCGCAAAGACAGTGACACAAACCGTCTATTTTTTCGATGGAGATGTGCTTTATTTGGGTTCAACCAATCAAACGCCCGAAGTCCCATACGGAGATACTTTCAGACTGGAATACAAAATTTCTGTGACACCGAAAGGAGAGAAGCAATGTGTCTTCAAAGAGGACTTCGCAGTGTATTTTATGAAGAAAACAGTCTTGCGCTCAACAATCGAATCACAAGGAGTCTCCAACGCGAAGAAGGACATCGACACGATGATCAGAATTTATGGTGAAAAGATCTCAGGGAAAACAGTTGCTAACGGTGGGGATAAACAGTTTATGGCTGACGACGCGCCAGAGCCGAAATTCTTCAAACAGAGTAAGATGAAAACAGTGCATGAGTCAACTCTCCCATTCACGCATTTGGACTTCTTTAAATACTTTTTATCAGACAAGTCGAAGGAGACGCAGAAGAAGATGCTTGAGGAGAAAGGAGAGTCTGATGTGGAGATAGAAGACTGGGAGAAGGGGGACAATAGTCAAGTGCGGACTATCACAACAATCACTTCGCCAAATTTGAATAAACAAATCACCACAAGAAGTCAGGTACAACAGTTCTATCAACTCAAGAAGGAGACACTCATTGTTGGGAGTGTGATGAACTACTTGGACTTCTCAGATTACTTCACCGTCGAGACGCGAATGACTGTGCAAAGTGTTAATAAGACTGAGTCCACTATATGTTTCCAAGGGAATATAATTATGAAGAAGAAAGGTGATGAGAAGGAGAAGGACTTAGTCTTAAAGCTTGAGAAAGCGTGTCGAAAGGACGTTCAGAAGTACATTGAGTTGTTTGAAGAGATCAAAAAAGATGAGGAAGCTACACAAAAGGGGTTAGTAATCAGAGTCTCCAACCAAATGACAAAGTTGACGTTCAAGGAGCAAATGATGGTATGCCACAACGTGCTCTTGTTGTTGATTTTTATCGCGTTGATGGGGATATTCGTTAAAACGCATTGAAAAAGTAAGTAACAAGTTCCATTCAAGTGTTATATTTAATAGAATATATTTAATATAAATAGTTTATATATTATTAAATGTGCAAAATAATTAACTTGGGAACAAAACAAAAGCTAATTAGAATAAGAAGTTATAGTATTACTATCGATTAAGGTGTATAGTTAAAAATATCATTGGAAAGGTCTAGACTAGGTTTAACTCAGAAAGTAGAATCAATGCCAAAATTCAGCAAAAACAACAAGAGAGCGTCGTTTAAAAAGGATAAGCAGGTGTCACACAAGAAGAAAGAAGAGAAAAAAGTCGAAGAAGAGGAGCCTGAAGTGGCCGATGTCTCTTCCAAAGAAGAAGAAAAGTCTTCTCAATCGACTCAGAGTGAAGAAAAGTCCAAAGAAACGAGTGAAGAAGCACCAAAAGAAGTCGAAGAAAAGGAAGCCGATGACGATTCGTCGAGCGAAGCGCCACAAGACCTTCAAACTGATGACAAGAAAGAAGTAAATGAAGAGGAAAAGAAAGAAGAAAGTTTCAAACATTACCAACACTTCGAAGACATTTTATATAGCAAAATGACTGCCGATGAGGCACATCATCAAATCGTTGAAACAATTGGCGACAAAGACTTTAATCTATTTCTGGACGGTAAAGAGATCATCGTGAAAGATGCTAAGCTTCAAAAGTTCACCACTATCAATCCTAAATTGATCACAGAGGCTGTTCAAGTGCTCAAAGACATCAACAAAAAGAGCACCGAAGCCGATAATACAATCGACTTGTTCTCTAAGGATAAGATCATTCAACTCTGTTTCGGATGTTACACACACAAAGACAGTCAACCTACCTTCCAATTCATGTTTGTTTCATCTTGTTGAAAACCCTACTTTTACTATATATTAATGATAAAAAATACTATTGATGTGGAATTTGTCTTTAGACGCATCGAAGAGAACTAACGCTTAGCCCTCTTCCACACCCAATCAAGAAAGATTTGACTGCGTGCATCTTCACAAACACCGCAAAAGATGTGATGAAAGAGCGAATGAAAAAGGTGGGGATCAAAGCAAAAGTGATTACACTCGAACAGCTTAAAAAGAGGTATTACACTCACGCGATGCAACGCGAGTTGGCGGATAAATACGACCTCTTTTTGATGGAGGGTGGATACTTATACCTCCGAAGATCGTATTTCGACGCGGAGGTCATGTCCGGCAAGTGTATCATCCCAATCAATGTGAAAGAAGACAAACTTAAATTCGAGTTTGATAGAATCATGCAGGGCACTGCTGTGATGATGGGTATCTCACATGGCGAGATTACAGCAGCAATTGGCTCACTTTCAATGAGCGAAAAGGAACTCACTGAAAATGTCATTGCATGCACAGAGAAAATGGTGGAAGTGTTACCGTCGGGGTTAGAGAATTTGGCGTCGGTTGATTTGACTATGAAGGTGAAGATTAAATACATCAAAGTCCCATTGTTTACTGGGTTCGATTATTGATTGATTCGTTTAGTTTTTATTTAGTTAATTTTATTATAAAATTATTATAAAACACGCATGACTTTCAATAGATTAATTTATAGTATAAATATTAAAAAAATGATGACTAGTTAATTTTTGGGTGTTGAGTCTTTACAAGAAAACCTACGAATTTTTACTATTAATTTTAATTAAAATGAACAAGAAAAAGTAATGAACACATTGGAGGAGGAGATACATGAAGGGGACCATGTGGTCATGTATATGAACAAAAACAGTTTTAGTGTCATTAAAGTTGCTGCAGGGAAGATTTTCCAGAACAAATTGGGGAACTTCCCCCATAGCAAATATATCATAGGGAAACACTACGGAGACTCAATTAACACTTCCGAGGGTTCGGTTTACTTTCTGAAAAACTGTCCGTCGTTATATACAACAGTCATCACACATCGAACACAAGTGTTGTATCAAGAAACAATAGCTCCCGTTTTAGCCTATTTTGATATAACTCCGGACAGTATCATAGTCGAGTCTGGGACGGGGTCCGGCTGTTTGTCGGCTGCTTTTGCTTCACGTCTTCAGTTTGGGGAAGTCCGAGGAAAGGGGCACTTATTCACATTCGAATTCCACGAGCAACGCAAATTGAAAGCACAAGAAGACTTCAACGAAATGGGGTTTAAAGACGTTATCACTGTGGTCTTGCGTGATGCTGTGAAAGAGGGCTTTGTTGTCGAAAACGAGTTAGCATTTGGGGATGCCGATTGTGTCTTTTTGGACCTTCCAAACGTCGACCAAGCAATTACAAACGCTTACAATATATTAAGACCTGGTGGGAAGATCTGTTGCTTCTGTCCATGCATCGAGCAAATCCAAAGATCTTGCGAGGAACTGAAACGAGACAACCGGTTCACTAATTTACTCACAAAAGAAAATGTTATCCTGCCCTACAGTGTCAGAGGCTCTGAAAAAAAGAGAGAAGACGGGATGCCAGAAGAGGTTTTAACACAGCGGACTGGAATGGTTAAGGGACATGTCGGATATGTCACCTTCGCAATGAAGACATTTTAAATTGATTTATTAGTTTAATTTACCATTAACAAATAGTTTACCTTGTTTCAAACGGAGTACTAACAGACAGACGGCTTCTTCTAGTTCTTTTAATTGAAAGAACTAGAAAAATTAATTCAATGAGTGAACAACGTGGGGAGGCAAAGGCGAAGAATAAGGAGTACGCACAGATCCAAATAACAGCCGAACAACTCATTAGAGAAGCACAAGACAACAAACAAATCTCATACAAAGCGCCCAAAATCACAATACATGATGAAGAGGAGTTGATGTCATTTCGATTGAGCAAGAGAAAGGAGTACGAAGCACTTGTATCGAGTCAGCGAAAGAATCCAAGGAGTTGGATCAAGTACGCGTCGTGGGAAGAAGACCAAGGAGAGTACACCCGAGCGCGGTCGATCTATGAAAGAGCATTAGAACAGGACTACACTAAAGGAGAGCTTTGGAGTAAATACGCCGACTTCGAGTTACGCATTAGTCAAGTCAATCGCGCAAGAAACGTTTTGGAACGCGCCACGTACTTACTTCCGATGGTCTACAATTTGTGGTACAAATATGTGAAACTTGAGGAGACGGTTGGTAACTATGGCCACTGCGAGGAGATTTTTGAGAAGTGGATGACCTTTGATCCGAATGAGTATGCGTGGATGTCTTATATCAAATACTTAATTCGCCTCAAAGAAGTCGAGAAAGCGCGCAAGCTGTTTGTTCGAGCGACGGAGAAATGTAAGACTGAGACAATTTATGTTGAGTGGATTCAATTTGAGAAACGATTTGGTGGTGATGAGAGAACGCGTGGTGTGTTTGAGGAGATGGGGAAACACGAGGAATTGTGTGAGAATGGGTTTTATGAAGAGTTTGCGAATTTTGAAGTGTCTGTAGGGGAGCTTGAAAGAGCACGAGAGATCTTGAAGTATGGTATTGACCACGTTGGGAAGCTGTCTGCTGCCCTTTTATATGAGAAGTATGTTGATTTTGAGAAGGCGAATGGAGAGATGGAAGAGGTCGACTTTGCTGTGTATGCGATGAAGAGGTTTACATATGAAACGGAGGTGCAAACGAGTCGCGAGAATTACAATTACTGGTTCGACTATATCATGATGGAGATGAACGAAATCAAAAGTGAGGAGAACACGAGAGAGTTGTTTGAACGAGTGATTAGTACTGTTCCACAAAAGTGTGAGAAAAGTGCGTGGACCCGATACATTGAGTTTTGGGTGTTGTATGCGCGATTTGAAGAGAAGCACAACAACATCGAGAGAGCACAACACATCTTTGAAATTGCGCTGAAACTGATTCCACACGCACAATTCACATTCAAAAAGGTCTGGGTCGCTTTTGCGGAGTTTTGTGTACGCAACCACTTCATCTCATTGGCACGAAAAGCTTTTGGGTGTGCGATTGGGTATACTCAAAAGGACGATGTCTTTGAGAAATACATTGCATTTGAGAAAGATAACAATGAAGATGACCGGGTGAAAAGGATCGAAGAGAAATGGGACGAAGTAAAGAAGACACGCGAAGAAGAATTAAAGAAGATGGAAGAGGAAAATGTGAATACTAAAGAGGAAGGCGAAGATGTGAGAGATGCAAGTGAAGGGAATGTCCAGGAGAATTTGCCGCAGAGTGAAGAGTTCGATGAGTTTTATAACAACGTTGATGAGCGGGAATGATGGGGAAGAAAATGATTGAATGATATATTGTGCATTATTATAATTGGAGTTTGACAACTAAACGCAAAACTAGTACTTTATAGTAAAACAATTATAAATGAACTATATTTTACCAATTTGAGTGTAATGAATGATAACTAAAACATAAAACAATTGAACTGTGAAACGATTTGGACTGAGAAACACCCCATTGTAACAAAAACAACTTTTCAGTTGTTTTTGTTACAATTTTGTCATACTAATTCTAAAAATGTTTTTGATAGACAAAATGGCCGTAATACTGAAAAGCATTTGATTTATATTATATAATTACTATATTGTGTTATTTATTAATGGTTTCGAGTACAATTGCGGCAAACACCGATTGTGTCAACCAAACAAGTCAAAGATGGTATTTCAATAAAACATATTATTATAGTATCAAAACTAAATATATATTACATATATCAAACTATATTTAAAAACAATATTTTGCAATTATTTTTATAAATTTACATTTGAAAAAACTAAATTAACGGGAAATTGAAGTAAAACCATAAAGCCGTTTTATTTGGTTTTATAAAGTTTATTTATAAAAACCATTAAATAAGTTTTATGAAGTTTAAAAATTTTGGTGTTTTAAAAATAGAAAAATGTTATGTACTTTTACGTAAAATAAAAAAAAAGATAGCTAGAGTTATCGCGTTAGTTCGGGCAATAATGCAATTGATACAAAAGTTGATCTATTTTCGTACCGAACTATTCAGAACATTTTCATGTCTATAAATAAAATGGAACACAATGGAAATATACAATATTTGCCGTTTTTAGTCAATAACTTCACTTTTCATTTTTGGTGAAGGAGTTGGGCTAAAATGAATGAAACTATTATTTTCTAGTTAAATGTACTATACATATAGTTTTCAAGAGTCGAATGGGGAGTTTTTGTCAACAGGGAGTAATTACTGATGGCGAAAACAAAAAACAGAAATCGGAAAACAACATTTTGGTAAGTTTCCCGAAGATTAGTTACAAATCAATCTGTTAATGAAGAGAAATACGACTGTAATTGTCAGATGATTCAAAAGAGCATTATTATAAAAAATAGTAAATATTGTTATATGGATAGTAAATACGTTGGAACTTTTCTCACAAACAGAATTACAGCTTTTTCATAAACAAAAATAAGATAACATTTCTATACGCCGTTTTAATAGAGTAAAGAAAAGAGGAAATGGACTGATAAAGAAAAGAAACTCCAAAGTCGACTGATGGAATACGCCAGAGGCACATTGACGATCATGAGCGCGTTTACTCAAAGGTCTTTGAAACTGACTGTTCTTGGGAATGGGATGATTTCTTATGAATATGACGAGAGTGACGCCTCCGCGAACTTGGACACTTACTCAAACTCCAGAGAGATCAAAAAAGAGGAGAAGTCGATATCCCCTTTGAGTGAGAAGAAGAAGTCCAAAGATGCGAACGAGCGATATATCTTTGGGTTTCGAGTCTCGAGAAATTATCAAGCAGAACAACAAGCTATACTCTTAGCTTTAATTAACAAAACATATAGTATAACAGTTGAACACCCACTGAAGAAAAGTAAGCTCACTATCCCCTTTCTGAAGATCATTCAATTCACTTCCGATGATAGTCAGCCAGTTTACTTTAATAACATCGTAGAGCAACAAATTAAAGTGCTGCAAAACGAAGACTTGAAGAATGGAGTGACTCAAAAGACGGTGAATCGACGGAAGGACGTACATAGGATAACAGAAGTGATCAGACTCTTAATCAGTTTTGCACGAGACATGGGCTTTGATATTAAAACAAAAAAGACTTCCGGGTCGAAGGGGAGCGTGAAAGAGTCGATCAAAGAAATCCACTTTAATAACGTCGTGTTGACAAAACAGACCATTTCAGAGATTGGGAGGAACATCAGCAATGAGATGGAAAAAAAGATGGCAAACGCCAATACCGATTTGCCTTTTTGCTTTGGGAAGCAAGACAAAGAAATTGCTCAACTTTTTAAAATTTTGTAATTGTATTCGTTTTTGAAAGTGTTATTTCTTTGTTTCGTTTTTAATTCAAAAACATGTTTTCATCGTTACAGTGTTGTGTGTGGTTCAGTTTGACTCTTCTATCGGGAAAATATAAATAACGTCAACTCAATAACAACTTTTTGTTACATTGTACTATTTTTGTATTTTACATTCAATTTTTTAATACGGATTATTAGTATTAATAGAAAATTAATGAAATTTGATGAAAATAGTCAGCAATTTTCAAATAAAAAATACAATAAACATAACTAAAATGGAATTTATCCAAACAAAAACGTTAAATAAAAATCTTATGAATTAAAATAAATTACATTAAAAATAATTTGAGTCATGGAATGTCTGATTTTTATAACAAATTTGTATTTTTATCAAAACTATAATTGTTGTAAATTATAGTTATTATAATAAATTAAAAAAATAATTATAATAAAAGTTAAAGAGTTTGATAGATTAATTTAATTAATATATACTAATAAAAATTACAAATAAATCCCATAATTTAAAAATGACGGATTTTACTAGATATTATTAAAATGTATTAGTACTTTTATCCTGGTGTTCTACCAGGCTCTGGTAATATGATGTTTTGAGGCATTTGTCTAAGTGTTGTTAAGATTGCAGTTCTTGCTTTCGATCCAACGTGACGATGATAATCATTCTGATTACTTTTTATCATTCAGTGAATAGAAAGGAGTGTTTTGCACTCAATTCTATTGAATAGTTTTTTATAGTAAATAAATAGATTTGATTTAAAAAAATGAACAGAATTCCTCTATAAAAAATCTTATTCACATTGAGTCTTAGTGCTACTGAATTATTTTTAAAAAAATGGTAACATAAAGCAACAAAAAACTCAAATACGTGACTTGACAAACAACAAGTTTTTGCAGTTTGGACTATTGATCAGTACAATTTTATTAATTTTTATTAATTTACAATAACAATATAAAAACAAACCATTTGTGATATGCGTCCTTCATATCAGTGATGCAGCAAGGGATGCAAGCGCAGCAAGGTAATCCAATGATGCACAACACACAGCAGATGATCCAGACCAAAGTTCCATTTCCATAGTCGACATGACTAATCACAAGTCTATTACAATGTGAGCAGAATACTTGGCAAGGGGTATACGAGATAGCAGGCAACTGTTGGCTTGGGTATGTTTGTTGTTGGTTAATAATAGGGGTGGTTTGTGTTGGTTGTTGGTATTGAATTGGATTTGATTGGTATGACTCGGTGAGAGTAGTTCCAATTACTGCGCCGTTATATTGTGGTGGTTCGTTATAAATCACATCGGGTGCTGAAGGTTGTTGTGGTGGTTGTTGGAAAGGAGGAACTGAAGGTTGTTGAGGTGTGATAGGTTGTGTTTGTTGTTGGAACTGTTGTTGTTGCATTGGTTGTTGAGGAGGGTTATAAACCAGTCCGTTATCCACTTGAGGAGCAGTTGGTATATTCAATTGAGGTGGATTATATTGAAGACCTGATGGTTGAGTCGCAAGAAGAGGGGAATGTTCAGTGTCGTCGACTGTTGACGCGTGTGGTGGTTCGTTAAGACTTTGCATTACTTTGTTTGATTAAGATCTATATTATAAATTAGTACAAAGAAATAATAACAATAGAAGGGTTTTTCTACTTTTCTGTTCATCTTTTCACATTTCAAAAATGTGCCTTATTTATAACTCGCAATTTCTATTCAAAAATTCCACTGCAAATGTTCAAATTGAATGGGAATTTCAATATCAAAACACATTTGAAAAACACTCTTTCGTCTTCTTCTTTTTCTCTTCAATTTGGTATTAACTAGTAATCATACTATAAAAAACTATATTTTTAGTATAATAAAAGAGAAACAAAAAAGAAATGAAATATCGAAATACAATTGATAGGTTTTCGTTTGGTGTTCTTTCTCTTTAAATACCAAAACTCATCTTGATACTACTGTATTAAAATATTATTAATATTTTCTATTAAATTATAATACGACAAATTTCAATTGTACTTTCTTTGAGTAATAAAAAACATTAAAAACCTCAATCTCGAGCAGAGCAAATAACAAAATAATTCAGTTCAATCATCTAACGCGATAATTGGGTCAATTTCTATAATGCGAGCAACACCAGCGTTCCTGATCAACTCTTTCATTTCAGGAACAATGATCATCTGTTTAATTGCCACCCCGTTTTCACAAAACAACGTGGGCCAATACATCGTCGCAGCTGTTATGAACGCCTTCTTCCGTTCTTCTATTTCTTTCTTCTTAATGACTTTCTGTGGCTTCTCGACGTACTCCATAACGTCATTCCACAGTCTTTTGTCCATCTCATAGTAACTCCTCCACTCCTCAAGATACTTCAAATTGCCTTTCACAACGCATTGCTCGAATAACGCGGGAATGAAGTTCTTGGCTTCCGCTAAGTCATAAGCGTCTGCGTAGAGTTGTGCGTCTTCTGCAAACCAGAAATATTGGAGTTGGATTTTGGCCTTGTCGTTGGACAACCCAAGCAGTTGGACGTTATTATAGAACATTTGGAGTGCAATTAAGTTGATCTGTCGCGCACACTTATTCGCTCGGTAATACTCTTGTCCATTACAAAAGAACACCACCGCTTTGAGATAACATTCTAACGCTTCATTCAAGTCAGAAACTACAATCTCGACACTCCCGCGCTTCGTTGTCATTTTATTAATAGCTTCATTGAGTATTTTATTCCCCTTTTCAAAGTACATTGACCCGCCTTCCATGGAGTCATTCAAGAACATATAAATGTCCGTAAAGATCTTTTCATAGAGAGGACTCGATGTCCCAAGTTCGTCTTTGACTGCAGCCAAGTCCGACTGGTAATACAATCCAGTCTCAAATGCGTCCTTCTGGTCGTTCGTTTGTAACAAGACGGAGTAATCCACTTCAGAGTCCGTCAGTGCCTTTTTCACAAAGTATCTAACTAATGTGGTTGGCGGGTTATTCACTTCTTTAATTTGAACGTCTTCATATGCTTTTGTACGTGTAATAACTCTTACAAGATACGCATGGTTGTGTGGTATTAAAAAGACCACCAAAGAAGTTTTAATCTTCCCAAGCACCTTTTCCATGAGTAACGCACTATTCGTGTTCTTTGCTGCAGTGTGGCAAAGAATCAACGCTTCACACAACGTGTTTGTCTTTGGTATGTTTTCTGTTAATTGCAACAAAGGCAAAACTATGTCCGACTGGTCTTTTAAGATGTTCAAATAATTCAACATGTTTGGCGTCGACCACCCCATCACATTACACGACCGAACGTTGTCCGTCACTTCCACAAAATTACTCGCTAGGAATTTCCCAAGCTCTTTTTGGTCAATATGTTCCGCATCGACAAAGCGTCGCGCGTCCTGGAACACCTTTGCCCATTTCAGTGTGTTTGTCGCAAGCTTTGAAAGCACTTTAGAACTGATTATCGTCTGCAAGAAGTCAAACACCTTCGAGTTGTAGTCTGCCGACGACGATAACACGACCAATACCAGTGACTTGTCATCAAAGTATTTATAGATCATTTCAAACCGTATTTTTAACAGTTCGACTGCTGTTGTGATATGTTTACTATTTATAGAAAGCTCGTCTATGTGCTTCAATCCACTTTCTAATTCTTTCTGATATGACTCTTGTGACGAGACAAAGTGCAAAACTTGCGTGAATATCGGTATCTCCTCCGTGTGTACAGTCTCATCCATTTGTTGTGCTAATGTATAATTAGAAGTACTTAACACATAGTACACACTCTCTTCTGTTGGATTAATTAACGCTTCAACAGGTACAGACTCTCTCATGGCTTGTTGGTACGTCATCAACATTTGTTTATTCTCCGCGTGCAATTGCAGGACTATCCCATTCGGGTTCTCCCTCTCCAGTTTTTCAAACCACTTCTCTTTGAAGAGTAAGAGTCCAACTACCTCTTTGTTGATCTCTTTAAAACTCTTCTCATTCTTTAGTGCTGAGATCTTATCAATTTTCGATTGGAAGTATTTCGTCACATCCAAAGCTGGACTCTTCTTCGCCTCTAAGAACTCATTGATACCTTCCCAACTCACTTTCTTCTCTACCATCTGATCCGCTTCTTTTTCTATAACACCAAATATCTTAATAGGATCAAATACTATAATGTGGTCGTACGCTTCTTTAAAACACTTCGCATGCGACATCTTCTCAATAAATTCACTCGAGTCTTCCGTCAATTTCAAATTGACTTGTGTCACCTCAATGATGCGAATAATACTGCAGAACTTCTTTATCTTCAACTCAACACGTTGACCAAGATCTTGACCTTCTAAAGACTCAATCAACTTCTGTAACCGCATCGGAGAATGAATTTGGAAGTACTCGACTTCTATGTCTAAGACTGTCTCTATCATCTTCTTCCTCCATTCTTCGTCTCCTATTAAGCCTTCAGACATTTTCATTTGCTTTGCAGACTCTTCCGCCTTCTCAAAGTACGTTTGGCTGATATTCCAGCAGACGTCGAAGAAGTGTCGAATCGCATTCTTTGAATCAAAGAGGGACAATGCAATGCAAAGCATGTGACAACTGATATCCATATTGACCATTTCCAATATTCTATTCGTCACAGACTCGATAGTCTTATTAGAAGACTCAATAAAGACAGCTAACGCTTCTAAAGGCGTGTACTCAAGCAACATAGTCAAGAGTCCTCTATCTCCACTATTCTTGGACAATGCACCCAAGATCGAAGCAACATGTTTTGCTATAGCAGAATCGCCACTGTATTGCACTATAATATCTTTCACAACACTCCAGTCAAATCCGTGTTTGTCGGAGTAGACTATAGTCTCTATGAATGCTTGATTTCTCGCTAGGACTTGGAGCTGCAAAGTACTTTGTGGCAATTTGAAGTAATTTCTCAGGAATCCTATTCGGTCAAATTCAACAGGCGATGGATATGCATTTCCAAAGACCTCCTCGTAGCACTTCATAAACTCCAATTTTATCTCTGCACTTCCATTCAGTAATTTGGCGTAATCAAGTTCTTTCCCTTTTTGAATGGCCTTGAGACTTGGGTACTTATTGAAGATCAAGCCATACTTATTACTTAAATCTTCGTGTAATACTATGACCAGTCTTAAGTATGGATCATTCAAATAAAACACACATGTTGTCCTGACATCATTTTGACTTGTTATAACAACATTACACATCTCCTCAATTGTCAATTCTGGTGTTGTTAGAAGTGCTCGAACGCACTCTTTCTCTAAGAGATAGTACTTCGCGTCTAATACATTTCGCGTCTGTGGAACACACTTTCGTGGTACAAATCCAAGCGGTTTCGTTAAGTACGGGTCATAGACCACTTGGAACGACCCAGAATAAAATTGTGGGAGGGTTATATCCCCATTTGATGATGTCAACACGCCATTGCACTCCTCGACCTTCTTCACCTTCTCTTCTCGATTAAAGAATGCTTTCAGTATTTTCGCTAATAAAGGTTTCGATGTTAACATCCCAAAGACGATGCTTTGGATATTCAAATCCAGTGGAATTGGTGCGTCCAAGAATTTAAGTGTGTTCATCAGAATGGCGTCTTCAATATTCGCGTGCAGCGCTTTAATTTGGTTCATCCACATGATCGGATACTTCTGGATCTTGAAATTTTCGATAGCAGAGTCTATTAAAGGCAGAAACTGGATTTTCTTGTATTCCTCTAACGCCTCACTCTGTTTCTTCTCATCCGCACTCTTCATGGGATGTGTAATTTGGCACTTCGTGTATTTCAAATACGCCTCATCAGGCACCATCGAGTGACTCATTAGATATTCTTCTAAGAGTCTTCTTGTTGGATTGACTGCGTAATATTGAACAATGCGCCACAGTCCCCAGATCTCTTGAGTCCCACTGAATTGCAATTTGTACTCTTCTATCCACCGAATAGCTTTTTGGTATTCATTGTGACTTATAAAGTACTTCATCGCATCATTCACAGAGATCTGCTGTCGCAACTCCCCACTCTCGATCAATATCATTGTCTTCTCGCATTTGTCCGCAGACAGTGTGTCATTCACACGAATCACAACATGTTCTTTCTTCACATTTTGTATCACTTCTGCTATATGAAACCGTTCAGAAACACTTTTGGAGACGTCACCTTCAAATTCGTGAATCTCTTCGATCTTGCTAGGTAAAAATTCGTCATATTTCTCTTCCTTGTTATTTGTATGGTCTTGTGCGTCGTACGTTTTAATGAACTCTTCGTCAAACTCAAATTTTGGGTATTCAAGTTCCTTATAGATATGGATACAACCCTCTCGTAAATGACTGTTTGTCGTGTTCAGTATGATCCTCAAAAGCATCAAAGAGAATTCGACGACACCAAGTCGCAGAGAAATCCGAATTGCATTATCAAAGTCTCCTTTGACGGCTTTAGACAATATCAATCCTTGGCCTTTCATCATAATATCTTTGTCCCTTTTCTCTGCAGATGAGATGTTTCCATGTAATATGAGATCATCAAATTTCTCGGGGTGTATCAGTTCTTCGACTTTCACAAGTTTAAGCGTCTGTTCGACTTCGTTCAAACACTTCACAGTCTCACTCTTGGAATTCCTCAATTTGTTCCTCTCAATGGTACTTCGCTCCTTTTCAAGTTCCCCAATCTTTAATATAACTCGACTTAAAATGTCTTTGTTCTGCATCAACTCGCGTTTCGCCACTTTCGTCACTATCTTCAAACACGCTTGGATCGACTCGTATGACGTTTCTAATACCATATTTTCCTCAAATATTTTCAGCGCTTCGACAAGGAGTTGCAAGTCTTCTTTTTCAAGTAATATCTTCACTGTTTTGTCGACTTCATTCAAATCGTCTGTTTCCAAGGCGTGTTCTAAAGTAATTAAGACTCTTGAATCCGCAGAGTCCACTGCAAATTGTGGATTTAAGCGTGTTATATCACCAATCAGTTCTGAGAATCCTCCATTAATTAAAGTGAGTAACATTCTCCTGGAATCATTAGGCACCGCTACAACCAACTTTTGTCCAGTAAAGTACAAAGGAAAAACAGTTCCATAGACCATTTGAATGTTCTTTTGTGTGATCTTCTCGTCTCCTCCTATTTTGGACAACTCAAACGTCGTCGAGTCGCTTTGTAATACAAACACTCCTGTTTGGGAGACAAAGATGTGTGTTGAAAATGCCTTGTTCAATGGAAGTTCTACCGTTTCAAACAACATTTTGTTCATCGTGTCCATCAACAGTAATTCCTTATATGGACTGTCAATGACTGTTGTTATTGGCTTGAACGAAAGAAGGCATTTCCCGTTACTGAAGATGTAACTCGACAATTTCTCGCCAAAGGAGAACGATTGCACGTCGGGCATTTGGACCTTCAGAAATGGCAAAGTTGCTGATAATTTGTGGGGGTCTTTTGGGGAAATGATAGTTACTGTATAATCAAAATGAAGGAAAAGAGTCAACTGATGTTGTGTAGTGAATGTGTTAACATCGTTTAAAGTGTAATTGAAGAGCCGAAGAGACGAGTCGTAGACATTGACGTCGTATGTATTTAGCGATTCTAATGGAGAAATAACTATGAAAGAGTCTAAGTACGAATCGATAGATACTTTTTTACTCGAGGGAAGGTCTTGAAGAACAAAACTCTTCTGTGTAACAACGTCGAACAAATAGAGAAATTTGCCTTGTTGATACACTAACGTTTCAGAATTGTTTAAAGTCGCCCAATTGAACGACATCACGTTTTCTATACAATGCTTCATCTTCTCGTCAATAGACAAAATGGTCACCGTCGTCTCATCACCTAAAGCAAAAAAGGTTTGGTTCTGAGAAAGCTTAAGAGTCGTGTATTTGTACTTCTCAAGAAATGGAAAGGTGCTGATGATTATCTCTCGCATCTGAAACGATCTGTTTTAAAGATCCAAAGAACCTTCTTTTTGGTTGTTTTTATGGAATTTTTCACCCAAACAAATTCTGTTGGATTTTTATATGAATTTCGACCTTCAAGTTTTATTATTCTATTGTAATTTGATTTACTATTAACAATCCCTCAAATGGTTACATTTGGTTGTAAACTTGAAACTTACAATCAAATCATTTTAATAACATTACAACAATATGCTCCTCTTCTTGAGTAATGCCTTTCAGTAATCCTCCGTTCGCAACGTTCCTCAAGTTCTTTATGAAAACATCCATTTCATTGATGTTCAGTATTTCCTTGCAACGCTCCTCTGCAATTTCCTCTCCTTTACCTTCGCTGCTGCTCTCGTCAATAAGTCCATCTTCCATTGCAAGAAACAGCTGGTTATTCGCACCACGAAGCTTTTGTAGAAGAGCCATTTCTTTCAGTAAAATTTTAACTACCTTATCAGGTTCGAAATAATTTGTAAACGCTAGCCCAACAGATAGCGCCAAGAAGTGTATTTTAGTGATGTAGAAGTTACCGCCTGTCTCGAATTCCATCACATTTTTCAAGAAAAAGTTTGTTGTTCTGTTCTCTTCGAAGAACAAAAGAAGCTCTTGGCCCCCCACAAGAAACGCTGTAAATATTGTCGTGAGTATCTTTTCTTTAGAGCATTCCTCGCATTTTTCAAACACCGCTAAAAACGGTTCAACAGCATCAGATGGTCGAATGACGTTATGTATAACGCACATCTTCGCCAAGAACGTGAGGTCGGCCAAAACATAGTCATCTTCGTACATCACAAACACTTCATTTGTAAGAAATTCATTGATAAACATTCTGTTGACAACGCTTGGACATATTGAAACGAGTGTTGAAAGCGCGGGAATAAGTCCAGCACTTTCTTCAATGTTCGCGTTGGTAAGGTACAACTCGAGCTGTCTTTCCAACAGTTCAAAATTGTTGCAATTTTGCGCCTGAAGTTCTCCGATCGTTCCAACAACAGACGAGATTGAGTGGGTGATACGTTGAGTTATAGGTAATTGGTTCTTCAAAATTTCTGATAAAAGCGCAAAAATTGAGGTATTGGTGGGTGCGTATGCCTGGAGGCAATACAGTGCTTGAAATATCTGCGTCACCAGATCCACGGTCTCTTCTTTCATGTGTTTAGTGTCTTCGTCTGTTCCGTCAAGACTGGAATAAAACGTGCAGAGTTCGTAACAACACTTTGAAGCTTGACTTAACACTTCTGGGCACAACGGCCTCAGATTCGGGAAATTTGAGAAAATTTGCATCATCAAATTTATGATATCATAAGACGGGTAGCGCAGGAGAGTGATGACTTTAGTCAATAGTATTTTAACTATACGTTCTGGTAAATTTGTGATTAAGTTTTTTAAACATAAAACTGCGTAGTAAGTCTGAACATAGTCATTGTTTTCTATAAAAGCAAATAACATTTGTATGACAAAATACAGTCGGTGGGTTTGAAGTTTTTCAAAAGTCAAAGTGGAAAGTGATTGAAATACGTTCGACGAAAATTCTTTGAGAAGAACAAGACCATAGTAAATTTCAACACGATTTTGACTTTTCATCAAAGTGACAGCAATCTGGATAACATTTTCAATGCTGCTCTCAAATTTGCGTTTTATGTTATTCGAGATTGAAACGAGCGTAACGACGCAGCCTTCTAGGATATAAAAATGGCGGCAACTGTCTTGTGTCAGAAAACGGATGACGCACAAAAACACACTTTTGCATCCATCGAATGTTTGGCACAATTTTTTCACCAATTTCTTGCCAGCAGAAAACCCACTCACCGTCTCATACTTTTTGTCTTCCTCTCGGTGTAAAAAGAGTACTGGGTTACTTAATAATAATGTCACATCTTCCTCTGAAAGTCTTAATTTTGGAATCACACATAAAAGCACTCTCTCCAAGTCCAATAAAACGAACGAATAAATCCATTCAAAGTCCAAGCAACACCAGACAAACATCTCGATCAAAAACTCAATTTTTGGTGACGTTGTTTTGGTTAATAATAAAAAACCATAATTTAATAGCATTTTGACGTTGATATGGAAAAACGACGAATAACATTTTTCTAATATGAGAGTGTTGAGCTGGAAAATGTTATTCAGAAACCTGAACAAATATTTTGTAGATTTCTCGCCTATATTCAACTGAATTAAATCAGTTGTTTTATAAAGCCACTTCCCAACCTGTTGCATAAGTTTTTCGGGAACCCCACAAGTTGTCACGTCCGCCAGAATTGAAATTACGTTTTCCACAATTTTTGCGTTCCACAAATTATTCGTTTCAGAAATTTTTTCAACAATTGAAAAAAAGACGTTTGAGAGACTCAAAAAAATGTTATACATAACATTTTCTGGCTTGACCAAAACGTTTCTGTTTGCTCGAAAAACGAAAGCAAAACATTGGATGACGCCTTCGGTCTGAGAAGAAATGTTTTCAAAAAGCCACTGAACGTTTTGTGGGTAAAAATCTTTTGTATAAATAAATTTAACGACTTCGCCAAACTGATTCCTCATTGAAAAATCACGTGAAGCACAAATAAGAGGAAATATTGAATCGATAATTAATAATTGATTCTGGCTGTCCAAATCGTTATAACGCATGACAACAACACGTTTTAATAATATGGAAAGTTGAAGGTGAAGTTGTGGTGCCAAAGGATCTGAAAATAAAGAGAGGATTGTTGGTATGATCCAACTACTATGGAGAAGAGTTTCATATGAAAGTACTTGTTCGGGTGTACTTGAGTATTGAAGGCGAGTAATCGCGTCTAATAAAATTTGCTTGGGCGTTGGAGAAAGAGCGGACATTTATTGTATTTGCGCTTTTAAGTTTTTCTCTTTGACTGTTTTCAGTTCAATGGCAAATTTAGTAAAATTTTAGTAAATAAAACTAGAACCTTTTTTAGATTTGTTAATTTACAATATTCATATTTTACCATTTTCAATAATAATTTATTAAATAAATATCTAATTATCAAAATAACAAGTTATTAATTATTTGTTATAGTTAAATATATTTTAATTAAAATTATATAAAAAACTCGTTAATTTAATATTATTAAAAACAATAATTTTATTATATTAATGTTAAATATGTATATGTGTATTTTTAATAAATTAAATAAAAAATTATAATTATCTTTTTAAAACTATAACTATTCTTTTTTTACTTGTATTTTTATTTTGCTATTTATGTTTTTTTACTCGTGTTTATAAAAAACGTGAAACTATAAAAATGTTATATTAAACTATAAATAAATTGTATAAATACATCCAGATGACTTCTAATGGAAAAAAAGAAATATTTTTAATAACTATTATTTGTAATAAATGCCGAAAATGATATCTGAAATACATTAAATTTTCAATAATGTAGACACGTTGCACTACATAAGTCAAATAATAATAAAAAATGCTCCACAAACTGGTTTTTAAACCATTTATAATAATAAAATGAACTATATAAGCTAGAGTAATCTACCACACTTTTATAATAATAAAATTTAATTTATCCCAATAGACTACCAAAAAGCTACAAAAAAATGAAAAGAGATTTCGATAGTTAAGAATAAGGACCTAACATATTTGGATAAGAAAAGCACAAGAAAAAATGATCAAATCAAAGAACAGTTTTTAATTCAATAAATACCCAAAAAATAGATACAAAATATTGAGAAAATGAAAAAAATGAGATTTTGAGTTTCGAAGATTTTTTTAAACTTGAAAAGCAGAGGATGGCCCAAGTGGAGCACAGGAGTGCGTTCAAAGTGAACAATTCGCGAACAATCACAATCTCTCATCGGAACACTTACTCCATTTTAAAGGCATTAACATCACGAATGTTGACAACGTATCGACAAATCAACCCGGACTTAATCATCTCCGCCCAACCCGCTCTAATCTTAACAGATCCATATATCGCACTTCACAACTATGGGTTGGACAATGCAAAACATGAATTGATTGTTCGGATTGGCGATATCTTAGGAACAGCAACTTCATTTGAAGGAAGACAGTTTTCGATGAATCCGGGGACTGTTTCTCGGTATGAAGTCGTCGGAAAACTCGGACAAGGGACTTTTGGGAATGTATATAAATGCACCGATTTGATCAATCAGAGAGACGTCGCAATTAAAATCCTCAAAAACAAGAAGGCGTATTTCAGACAAGGGATGTTAGAGGTCACGTCTTTACTAGTGGTTTGTGTTGCATTTTAGCTTTTGATATTTATCTTAAGGAATCTTGATAAGACGTGAGGAGTAAATTCCTTAAAATAGGGAGTACGAGTGAATGAAATGGCCTAACACTACAGTTGAACAAATTTTATGACCCGAAGAAGTTGATTGTGGAGATGTACGACCACTTTTTGTATTGCGGACATCTGTGTATAGTGACGGAGTTACTTGGATCGTCACTGCATGAATTAATGAAGTTGAATCGCCGCAATGGATTTAGTCTGCCAACCATCCAATTGTTATCGAAGCAAATGTTAGAGAGTCTGGACGTGTGTAAGAAGGCGAATATCATTCACTGCGACGTCAAACCTGAAAACGTTTTATTAACGGGGACGACGCCGCGGTTGAAATTGATTGATTTGGGATCGTGTTGTTTCGACAACTGCACATTGTACACATATATTCAGTCGCGGTTTTATCGAGCGCCCGAAATCTGTATAGGGTATCCTTATACTTCCGCAATTGATATGTGGAGTTTTGGGTGTATGGTCGCTGAAATGTTTTTTGGTATTCCACTCTTTGTGGCGAGTAGTGAGTTGGGCCTTTTACGAAAACAAGTCCAGTTGCTTGGTGTTCCTCCGACCGATATGTTAGAGAATGGGAGTAAGAGTGATAACTATTTTGCGAAGTATTACCACGCCGATGACACGTATGAATATGTCTTAAAAGATGATGAAGAGTATGAGACTGAGTTTGGGACTGAAATTCCAGAAGAAAAGGATTACTTTAAGAAGAACAGTTTGAAGGAGTTGGTGTATCTCCATAACATCATTTTGGACGTCTCGAAAGTCCCTGTTGATGCTGCGACATTACGACTGACGTTATTTGACTTTCTTAATAGGTGTTTGGCATATCGTCCCGACGAACGGATGACTCCAGAAGAAGCGTTAGCGCATCCACTGTTCAATTCGAAGCTGAAGAGTGAGAAAGACATGAAGAAGAAGACGCGCGTTCCGAATTTGCAATTAAAAATACCGAAAAAGAAGAAAGACTCAGCGAAGTTAAAAGATGACGAGAAGCTGGAAAGCTTGGAAGAGAAGTCGAAGGAGGAGGACAAAAAACGGAACTATAACATCACCTCGGAATATTATCAAGTGTTTATGGAACAACTGTCGAAAGGACATATCCCGCTGATCACTGAAGATAATCCATTTGAGAAAGGAATGACCCCGGATTCATTCCCTTTAGTCTTCCAAAGAGAATTGATATCCCCACAACCCATAATAGAGAAACAAGCACATACCCCAAGGAGAATCCGAACGGCTAGTGTAGGGGGTGAACCTACCTCTGCGAGAGAACATCGATTGTGTTTGTTTAAGAACGAGAAAGAGAAGGAGAAAGACAAAGATAAAGAAAGCAAAAAGAACTATAAAATCCCAACACTGAAGAAAGTACAACACGACGACTCATCGTCAGAGTCGACAACTTCGTCATTCTCATCACCAAGAAAAAGAGTGTTTTCGTTTGTATCCCCAAGAAAAGCAGAAAGCCCGAAAGAATCACCAAGAAGTGGAAGTAAACTCAGCTTTTTGGTCCCGTCATTCATGAAAAAGAAAAAAAGAAGAGGGTCCGTCGGAGCAGAGGAAAATGCAGAGGAGTCGTCTCCTGATACGTCTGTGTGATTTGTTTGATTGATTTTTTGTACCATCTTATTGGAGATGTCTGATGGTAAAAGTCTTATAAAGAAATAATAAAAGAAATTACTAAAAGAAATTATAATAAAAGTTACTAAAAAAATACTAGAAATAAAAATAGTAGTAAAATAAATTATAATTAAACTAAACAATAATTGAAAAAAAAAGATTGAATGAAATGAGTTGCAGAAAGTGATTACCACTCGGTGATAGAGAGAAACATCTCAATTTATGAAAGTGAGAGAAAGGTGGAATGAAGAAGTGTGATATAGAACAGTTGTATACACAGTGTATTCAGTTATGTAACACGAAGAAAGTTACAAAGAAAAACGCATGGGAAATGCCACTGATCGATATTATGGAAGAAGTCATTAACGACAATAAAAAAACAACATTTCAAACTGCAAGCACATCAATAGACGCATCACTCCAAATTTACTCGTGTCGAGTTGATGATGTCTACCAGGCGTTTTATAGTTTTGCAAATCATTTAAATGTGAATAGCGAGATTGAAGATGACGAAGACGCATATCCCGAAGTCTCCGTACACGAAAAAAAGAACAAAAAAAGAACGAAAAAGTGCGAAACACTCGAGAAAAATTCAACCAATTTGTTAAGTGTCAAGAAAGGGAATGATCCAATGAAAAGGTACACACTGGACCTTCTTATGAAAGTTTTTCTTGAAGAAACTTCGTTTACTAAATACCAAGTCAGTGGTGGCGGGAGAATAAAAGGAGATTGGAAAGACAAAATGAGTATTGATGATTGTGAGATTCCATCTAAAGAGTGCGACGAAAACAAAATAATTGACTCATCCTATATCAATTTCGACACACTGGAAAATTGCTTTTCGCCAAAAGAAATATCAAAGGCTCCATGTGCTATCACCCCAAAGATGGAATGTGACGCTATGGAAGATCAAAGTCATGACGTCGAAGCAATCGAGAATGACGCGGGGATATCGCGAGCCGTCAAAGAGTCGCTTAAAGAAAATGGAGACATTCTTGGGATCTCTGTGAATGAGGGAGGATATACGTATTATGCACCTATGGTGTTCAAGGAGTGGGTGAGACGCCCCAAAAAAGCTAAGGCGCCTTGTGTGCGAGTTAAGAAGAGTGACATCGATTTCACAAAATGTGTGCCTGCAATGAACTTGCCCTCAGAAGACCAACTCAAGACTTTTGTGAGTAAAAAAAGAAAAGGGCTGGAAAGTGGTTCGTGTTTGGATGTACCTTTGTTACTCAAATGGACAGACGAATACGAACCCCTCCCAACTGATCCATGGGATCAGGACGTAAGAATACCTTCCATTCCGCAAAATTGCGAAATAGAGAAAGAAACCATTAGCAAACTAGAAGAAACCAACATGAATGAGAAACAATCGAGTATAATTGACGGAACCATTGATAATGGTTTTGAAAAGAGAGAAGAAGATTGTGAGACGTTCAGAACGGTCGAGGCGCCACGGCTATTCAACAGGATTGTAATAAAGCCTGTCGACCACCCAAAGCTGCTCGACTACGAAACACTTGAAAAAATGATCTTTGAATTTGTGAATTCTTCCCAAGAAAATGTGTCACTAATCGATATCATTAAACACTTACACATGAATCTCCCACAAAATCTCGCAATTGAGGCAACTCCACATTACTGTTTTGTCGCGTTGTTAGTACTGGCTAATAAGAAAAAAGTGAAGTTGATCAACGAAACAGTCAACAAATTGTTTGTAACACACTGAATGGTATTATTTTTATACTTATTAATAGTTTAAACTATTAGTATATATCGATAAGCAATTATTAGTTTTTTAAACTAAAAGTTTTAATAAGATTGTGTATAATAACAAAATAATTATAACATTTTAAAAAAAAATCAACAATATGTTATACTATAAATTAATACTTATTAAATTCGATCTAATTTCGTTCACAGTCATTTTTAATTTACAAAAACAATAAATAAACAAAATTATTGATATTGTAAATTATTATATAAAAATCATCTTTCAAATTCTAATTTTCATAATTGATGAATTGTTGTCTTTTACCCGAAATTGGTACATTTTCCCAAATAACCATTTTGTTTCCATTCGGTTTTTTAATTTATTTATTATTATGTATTAAATGTTATTAAGTATTATTGATTAATAATAAACAAAACTAGTATTATTATACTTTCTGCCAAATATGTTTAAGTGTTGTAAATACTCGTTCCATTAGTATATTAATTAAATACTATATAATTAAATAAAATAAATTTCAGAATTCAAATTATAGTATATCTCTAGTAAATAAATCATGATAAACCTGTTTTGTCAAAGTAACAATTATATCAACGATATTCACAACACAATCTAAAACTCAGCAATTCGATATCATTTGTATACGCAATTTCCCTCAAATTTCCAATAAAAAAGTCTTATATAAAATCAAAAATAAGGGTTAAAGAAACCCTAATTATTTTTACCGAATATAAAGACTCCCAACTGACACCAATCAATTCAAGTCCGATGACTAAGAGATTTATCTTCACCTCCGAGTCTGTCTCGTCTGGCCATCCCGACAAAATGTGCGATCAAATCTCCGACGCCATCCTCGATGCCTGTCTTGCCCAAGATCCGAACGCCCATGTTGCTTGCGAAACCGCAACGAAAACTGGGGTCGTTTTTGTTCTAGGTGAGATCAGCACACGAGCGGTAGTTGACATTCCTAAGATAGTTCGTAATGTAGTGAAAGGGATTGGATATGATAATACATCGAAGGGATTTGATTATAACACTTGTTCAGTACTTTCCTGTGTTGAACAACAGTCTGTAGATATAGCTGAAGCTGTTCATGTAGCGAAGAAAGAAGAAGACATAGGAGCTGGTGATCAAGGTATTATGTTTGGGTATGCCACTGATGAGTCGAAAGAAATGATGCCATTGACTCATGTCTTAGCTACCAAATTAGTCCTTCGATTACAAGAATGTCGTGAGAAAGGGATTTTGCCATGGTTATGTCCCGATGCAAAGACACAAGTCACTTTAGAGTATGAAGACGTCAATGGTAAATTGGTACCTTTAAGAGTCCACACCGTAGTCATCTCTACTCAGCATACCCCTGAAGTCTCCAACGAAACTATCGCTCAAGGACTTGAAGAGGAAATTACTATGAAAGTGATCCCACATAATCTGATTGATAAGAACACTCTGAGATACTATAACCCAAGTGGACGATTTGTCATCGGAGGACCAATGGGTGACGCTGGGCTAACTGGGAGAAAGATCATTGTAGATACCTATGGAGGATGGGGTGCTCATGGTGGAGGAGCTTTCTCTGGAAAGGATTCATCAAAAGTGGATCGAAGTGGTGCGTATTGCGCTCGTTGGATTGCTAAGAGTATTGTTAATGCGGGACTCTGCCATAGAGCTTTAGTACAGTTGAGCTATGCTATTGGTGTTGCTCATCCACTCAGTGTTAATGTTAACACGTATGGAACAGGTGTCATTCCAGAAGAAAAAATAGTCGAAATCATTAATAAGAACTTCGATATGAGACCAGGTATGATCGTCAAGAATCTTTGCTTAAAGAGACCAATTTTCCAGAAAACGGCAGTCGGCGGACATTTTGGGAGAAATGATCCAGACTTCTTATGGGAAGTCCCTAAGATCCTCGAACTCGGTGATGACGTCAGAGAGAAACTTATTACCGAACGTTTGTGAGAGTGTGTGTCAAATTGATTACTTCAGATTATTTTTTTTATTAATTAAATTAATTAATATTTATAAAATTAATTTTAATCAATTATTTTTTTAAATTTTGAGTTTTTTTATTATTATTGTATAAAAATAAACTATTTAATAATTAACTTGTTACAATTATGTGATTTAATCAATAGTTTTTTTTTGTGATTTCGAGATTGAGAAATTTTTGAGATTATGAGAAGTTGAATGGAACGACACAACGTTTAACCCACCAAAATAAGACAAAGAGCAGTGTTTTCATTTAATGAAATCAGTTAACCCAATTTACACGAGTGAGTTTGTCAAGTCATTCGAAAGTTCTCATCAAAAACATTTTGAGGAGCTTGAGACATCGTTCAGAAACACACAACGATTTTTGAAAATGTACCAAGATTGCGCGACACAATGCAGAAGATTGATAAGTCGCATGCAACCCACTACTGAAACACAGAAGGTATTGTCTCAGTTGACGCTCATTGAAAACCTGGTGAGGAAGGAGAAGGCTCACAATGTCCAATTCGACACGAACAACAACGAAATCCAAGAAAAGGAAAAGCCACACAATGACCATATTAAGATCATCAAGCCAACCCAACAAGAACTCGAGAAGATTGCAAAGTCCACTTCAATGCCATTGCTTCACTTCTCTATCCAGTCCAAAATGGAGAACGACAAAAAGGCCCACCCAAAACTCATTGCTTCAGAATTTGTTGGGCAGTTCAACCAAATGACGCGCTACACTTCTGGTTGTGCAATTCTTCAGAAGATACTTTCAAACCCCTCACAAGAAATTGTTCAGATGATCTTCGACGAGGTCGAAAGCGACTTGGACAGCCTGATCATTCACCCTAACGGGCAGCACATTCTCCCACAAATGGCGGAGTTTGGAAGCGAAGAAGTACAAGACGCAATTTACAACACGATGGCAAAAGATTTGGTGAAGTACTGTTGTCACCAATTTGGGGGCTACACCGCCCAAAAGGTAGCACCTTATATGAAGAAACGCCACATTGCCATGTGGGCGCCCACGTTAAGAAACAACATGGCACTACTTGCGATTGACCCTCACGGCAATTACGTTATCCAGACATTGCTGAAAATTTTCAGCGATAATGATGTTGATTTTTTCTACAACGGGATGCAGAACTGTGTGACTAAAATTGCCAAGACGAAAGTGGGGTGCTCTGTACTCACACACGCGATGGAGTCGTCTTCACAAAGCCAGATTGACAAAATCAAACCAAAACTAATCGAAGACTGCTGCGACTTGATACAGGACCAGTTTGGAAACTTTGTCATCCAGCGTCTAATCGATTGTGACGCGTCTGTTGTTCCAGCGATTACTCGATACATAGCTGAGGACGCGGTGTTTTATTCCAAACAGAAGTTCAGCTCAAATGTCGTGGAAAAGTGTTTGAAATGTGGGGGTGAAGAAGAGGTCTCAATTCTCATTGATGCGCTGCTCAACACAGAGTCAGTTTCAGTGCTCATTGAAGATCAGTTTGGGAACTTTGTGATTCAGGCATTACTCGATGTTGTCCCGGAATCCAAGAGAGTCGAGACTGCGCAAAGATTGATGCCGTTTGTCCCTGCCAATAGCCGATTTACATACCATATCGAGAAAAAACTTTTGCAACTTTATTAAACAAATTCTCTATTTGTGTATAATGTTTAACAGGTTTCAAAAAAACAAAACACGTCAATTTCACATGTTCGAAAAAATTGTATAACCCTTAAAGTTTCTCTATTTCTGCTTTTCTTCTGCTTCTCTCCTTTTAATTTCGTCGGAGTATGACTTTGAAGTGAAGAAAAAAACGGCGGACACAACAGCCCAAAAGAGAATTGCTGGAAGAGCAAAACACAACTGTGGTGGGAGAAGGAACATCCTCACAAGTGGGATTGAAAAAGGCTTTTCGTGAGCTTATATTTGTTTAAAACATCGTTAAATCAGACAAACGAACTCGAAGCACCAGCGACAGTGACACATATGCAAAAGCAGACACCGTTGCTCCAAGGATCAAATACGCCTTTGGTTTTGGATTAAATTCTATCCCCATTATTTGTAATTATCAGATATTCAAATTTTCAAAATAACAAAAGAAACAACAATGAAAAAAAAATGAAATTTCAACCACAAAAAATTCAAAAAGCTTAATTACCACCAAGCTTAGAAAAATCAATAGCCCCTGAAATGACAGAAGTAGTAGTCTTCTTAGCGACGTTCTTCATATCTTGAATTGGGTCTTCAACTTCCTCTTTTTTAGCTTTAGGGTCGACAAGTTCCTTTTTCATATCACCCCCTTCATTTCCATCGAGCAACTTAGAGATTTTTGGTCGACAGAAATACATGACAGAGCCCAAGCAAATGGCTGCGATGTAAAGGAGGATGTTAATAACGTCCGAAACTGGTGTGAACGCGAAAACTAAAGATGAGCACTCTGGTGTAGCGTTGTTAGGGAAGAGCGAGACCTTTTTGCAAGCTTTAGTGCCATTAATGATTTCGTTTGAGTGAGCGAACACGAGATAGCATTGCATAATGAGTGGGAGGATCAAACAGCAATACACAACAAAGGTCAACACCTTTTTCTTTCTCCAGACGATGACAAAGACCCAAAACAAGACGACTTCTACAACGCAAAGGAATTCAAAGACCCACGTCAAGATGTCGTTCAACACGGAATACCCACATTGGTAGTGATAATTATTGCCCGGGATTTTATAGGACATTGCAGTCGTATGATCCAACTTAATGGAACTACATCCCGTCTCCGTGGAGTTATTCCCTAACAAGTTGGTGTTTGTCTTCTTATCAAATGTGTGGTTTGGCATCCCAAATCCAAAAACAATGATGGTGATCAAAGAAAAGACACCAGCAGCCGTAAGACACACTGGCGTCCCATAACGGGCAGCATACGCCAAAATCTTGTGCATTGAATTTTTGAGATCTTTCGCCCTGTTTTATTCTTTGGAGCAGAAAGTTACAATACCGCATTGTTTTATTCATTATTAATTGGTTTATAGTATTTGTACTAGAGGGAATTAACAAAAACTATATTGTAGTTTTTGAATGTTAAATAGAAAGAGGTTAAGTTATTGATACTTATGGCGTGAGATGTCGGAATAATTCGGGTTATTATTAATTTATTCTTTTACTTTCGTCTTGATTTGGTTTGACACCTTGTTATATCAGTTCTGAGATGTTGAGGAAATAATATAATATCCCAAATTAATACGGGTTGAAAAAATCATTGTTTTTAAACAGATTGAAAACTTTGCAATGAAAAGTTTATAATTAAAAATGTTTTATAAAAAACAATTTAAAATTTGATTTTTTGAATGTTTTTTAAAGTTCAGTTTTGATTTTTTTTAATTGATAGTAATTTTATAGAATATATTATTATATAAAATATTATATATAAATTTATTATAAAATTTAATAATTATAATTGTATTTTAGTACTAATAGTCAATTATTTATTAACCATAATAATACTTCAACAATTATTATAATTTTGATAATAAAACAGTAATTATTAATTATAATTATTAATTTCCCAAAAATGTGTTTGTTTAACATCAAAAAAAATTTGTAAGTTTTTAATAATTAATGATATATTATACCAATTAATTTATTACTATTTTTTTGACATTTTATTAATAAATTTAATTAAGTTATTAAATTAAAAATATTAGTATTTTTTGTCCCGAAAATATGGGTATTACACTTCTAAATTATTACACTTTTTTCTTTAATAAACCCGAATAATTGCGCAGTGTTTATCTGTTGTAAGCACAATAAAATACACAATCCATAATATTATACTATAATAAATGTATTATTTTACTGAACAAAATCAGGAAAGAACCCCCACAAAATATTTAAAATGCTTATTATTATTTTAATTACTTAACCCAAACTAACTTTTTGGTTAAGTTTTCTTCACAACATTATCACTTTATGGTATTAAAAAAGCTAATAATACTAATATATATGAGTATTTAATTACAACGAAATTATCATATCTTAATATATATTACAACACTTAATTAAACCTCAAAGTAGCGAACTTTAAAACAATCGGCAAAAAATGAATGCTATCATTCTTTGGTTTTATTCCTTTATTTTTACGTCGTTTTCATACAAAAAATGAGCGAAAAAATAACCCTTTTTCTTGTAACCTTAAATGCCACCTTGTGATGAATAAACCATCAAAAAGTGTAGAACTTCCTATTTAAAGATGACGAGTGAACTCCAAAATGTCAAATGGCACAGAACGTTATTTTGAAATCATCTGATGGAAAGCTCTTCACCCTCACTGAGGAAGCTGCCAAACAATCAAAGCAAGTTGAGAACATGATGAAAGAGAGAGCCAATGCCGAGGAAGCCATTCCATTGTTGAAAGTTGAAGGTGCTGTCCTTGAGAAGGTTGTTGAATGGTTGAACTTCCACAACGAGCATCCATTGATGTACCCAGACTTTGTCATTGGTGACAGAGACAAAAATGCTGATCTCCACCCATGGGATGTCAAATTCTGTGAGTCACTTGAGAAGGATATGCTCTTCGAAATGTTGAAGGCTGCTACCTTCATGAACATTGATATGCTTGTCGAGGCTACTGCTAAGACTATTGCTAAAAACTTGGTTGGAAAGACCGTCGAACAGATGAGAGCTTACCTCAACGAAGAGAATGATTACACTCCAGAAGAAATCGAGGAGCTCAAGAAGAAGTATGCAGACTAATTAATAATAACCTTTACTTTGAGTTAGCAGAGATATAAGTTATATTTAATATATTAAATCGTCCTCTTTTTATTGAGTAGTCCTCTGTTCTTGTCGAACGTTTTTATCATTTTGGTGTCCTGTAAAATCACACAAATTGTGAAGAAATTTTTCAAATGCCATTTCTAATAAAATACTCAATGTTATATCAGAGCACAAATTTCAAACATGGTCATATTTTTTAATGAGTATTAAATGGCGTTCTTATAAAAAACATGACGATTGGATTAAGTAAAAAGATATTTAAAAATTTACTTCTCCCCAAAATCAAGACCAGACTCTTCGGCTTTGGCTTTTCTGATGTTGCGCACTTTTTGGACGATGATCCAGACAAACAACCCGGCGCCGATGAGAACAAGTATACCCAAAATTGAATAAGAGACTGCGACGTATATAATCAAATTCTCGTCTTCACTCAAGGAGGTGCTGCTCATGTAGTTTTTTGAGTTGTGAAGTGTCCAATTTCGAACAACTTCAATATGTTTAAAAATAGAATATTTTATGGTTAAAATGTACTATTTTATAGTTCTGGAGTAACAAAAGGAAGTTACTGAAAAAGACTTCTATTTGAGTGTTATTGTTGTGGACTTGTTTAAATATTAACAGTAAGAAGTAATATATATAGTATAATAACTATGAAGAATAGAACTACATGAACTGCTTCATTCGATCTTTTGTCTTCATCATTTTGAGAACAGTTCTGTGAAAATAAGCGACTACAAGTGGCTCCTCATACTTCAGTCTTTGTATTAACAGGACCATCCCATCTTCTTCGATGTCAAGAAAGTCTTTCATCTCCTTAATAACATCATCACCAAATTTGTTCACTAACAACAACCTGTGAAACAATATCGACGACTTTGTAGTGAGGAGAATAGACGCCTCTTTGAGAAGAAACAGCCCAAGTACATCATTTTTCTTATCAAAGAATTCGACAGCCTGTTTGATCATATCGTAGATCAAAAAGGTATGCTCGACTAAAGTTGGACTCCTATTAATACTTTCCCCAACCCCAAAAGTGTCAACATTTAATACCTTCCCCGCTTTATTAATAAAGAAAGCAGCACGTTCAGAAAAGTACTGAGCAACATCCTTTGTGGTGATCGCATCAACGCGACTTTTGTCTGACCGGATCACACAAAATGGATGTGGAAACTCGAAAACGTTTTCACATGAGAAATCAGTGACAAACTGCAATGTGAAAAATGGATTGGTTTTCTCTGTGAGGTAATTTGAGTGAAAGACTGACATGCTTTGCGATGAAAATTGATTTAAAACGCTGTGTATGGAATGGATGTCTTCCAACGTTCTTGGCACACAGACGGTGAAAAATGTTTCCAAAAACCCCGTCACCATATCTGTGACAAACAAAACTCGATCGTTGAAAGTGTTTGTTGTATTGAATGTGATATGAAATGGGTAGACCTTCTTATGTGTTGTGATATACACAAAGTCCTCAAACGCTTCTACAAATTGATTTAAAGAGTCTACCAATACCTTTGATGCCTTATCGATGCCTTGTGACAGATTAGTTAATTGATACTCAAAACAAATTTTGTTTAAAGAGTCATAGAAAGTATCTACAACATGTCTGTAATTCACAAAGTCGTCGGGAAGGTAAAATCCGATGTTAAATATGATGACAGGGTACGACGAGACGTCTGTAGAAGACATAAAAGGGATATGGAGAGTGAAAAGCGTTAAACTTCGATTTGTAGTGGTGTTTGTACCAAACTCATATTGATAGTACAAAGGCACATGAGTCGTTTTAACTCGCTTCTCTTCACTAATATCTTTATTCATCGCAGCTTTCATTGGAATACTTTTAAAGTATTGATTGGTACAGTACGAGTCAACTTTTTTGAGTAATTGAAGAGACTCTGGAGACCCATCCGTCCACTTCAGACTGACATGTTTATGGGGCTCTTCGGGAAAGGACAAGATGTCTAATAAAACCATGTTTTCTTGTTGTTTTGGTGACATCTTGTCTTTAATCTTCCAACTACATTTGTTAATTACAGTTGGGTCGATCCCACTCTTTAAAAGTGTTTGAAAAGACCCCCAAATAATACCCCAGTGGTCACTCAATGAAGTCGCTGCATAGACGTGCGAATGAAAAAATGTTTTTGGAAGACGGTTGGGAGACTCGTGGATCTCCAATGCTTGGGAGCGGGGGATTTTGTAAGACATAATGGAGCCTAATAAGAATAACAGATTGTTACTTATTAATATCCTTCTTACTTTTTCCTTCTTGAACCTTTCTTTTTCAATCTTTTAAGAAGAAATTATAATTATAGTTTTACTATTGCATTTGTTTCTGATTGTATTTCGTCTTTGTTTGTATTATAATGAAAATAATCTTCTCTTTCTTTGAATAATTGTTTTAAAATAAACAAAAAAAATCGGTGAACGAAATGGATTTTTGTATTTTTATTTATTATTCAGTTATTAATAATATATAGTTTTTTAATTAAATATTTACTATTTAAATAATAATTTAATTGTAGTAATAAATAATTCATTTTAAAAGAATTATTATATTATAATATAATAATAATATATAATATATAATTATAATAATAATTATTATAATAATAATTATAATTATAATACATATCTAATAAAAAAAACTATTGATATTTATTAAAAAAATTGTTAGAAAAAACGAGATGAGTGGGTGCATCTTTTAATAATAAAAATATTAAATTAAAACCATAATTATATTTAGAAACTTTTCACCAAAAATATTAACTTTTTCTGTAGATTTTGAATTATTTTTTCAATGAAAAGTGGACTAAAAAAATGTAAATTGTGGAGATGTCCGATAAAGAAGTCCGAACATCATCACCACCAAATTCATCAAATACGCCCCCAATAGAACTCGATGTTGAAACTTTAACAAAAGAACATGACAAACCACTCAAACCCACTTTTACATTAAAACCATCATACACTGTCGATGTTCTCAATAAGTCCACCCCCGTTCGATTGGCTAAAACAAAAAGTGTTTTAGACACTTCGCTCATGCCAACAACACAAACAACAAGTATTTCATTGTTGCCCAATGAGAGTTCGACCGATGAAGATGACCGCCCGATAGCTCAGAGTCGACAAAGCCCAACAAAAGCAGTGGAATTAGACGATGTCGTGTCCGAGTCCAAACTTGAGAATTCAAGTCGGGAACATAACAACTTGCTTGTGACATACAAACACATGAAAAACAGAGCAATTATGAGGAAAGTTGGAATAGTGTTTTCAAATACTTCTCGAGGGTTTCCCTATATCACCTTCATCATTCTCTTTATGATCTTTATAGTGTATACATTAGTGGCAACACTTGTGTTAAAGCGTACGAAAGACTGTGCGATGGAGTATTTAGTCTTTTTACTGATTGGGACTGTTTGTGTATTCTCGTGTCAGTACGTCTCGCCGTTGGTCCACACACTTATCTTTGAATTTGACATTGCGTGTTATCCCTTTTTTGTGATACCCCCTAAGGCAGTGTATTATGTTGTGTATTTGTGCTCTGCGCTTGGGTTGTTTGTGGTGACTATACTGATCTTTTTGTGTTACGACAGAGTGAAAAACATTCTCATTAAGCTTCTTGGTATCAAAGAAGTGTCTGAAATCGTCAAACATGTGACTAAACTCGGGCAAGTACAATATATCATACAAGACGGATATTCGCAAATGACATTGGAAGGGAAATTTGAAGATGGGCTTGCAAGCGGATATTGCACGTGGATCGACTCAGCGGAGCAAGGAGAGTTCTTGTGTGGGAATTGGGAGAATGGGCTACCTGTTGGTCCTTTTGAGTCGACTGAGAACAACTCGCGGACTATGATGAAGAACGTGCGAGTCTTATTTGCGACAGATGCGGATGGGAAAATGTGGTCATCGCGATCACAGCCATCAGTAGGAGTTTCTGGTGTTGAGTGTATTATCTCTGGGAATTATTATTCGGTGTATCCCAAGACTAATATGATAGTAACACAAACAGTATGTGAGTGTGGACAGATATGCAAGTGTTTCAAAAAGATCATGCAAAATGGGAGTTACATTTCTAATAGCAAGACAAGCTCGAAAACGTCAATAACAATTTCAGTTGATAAAAACTCGAAGAATTTGTATGTGTCTGGATATCGTCCTTTAAGCGATGGAAAACATGTGGAAGTCAAAATCAAAAGAGACCAAGAGATGCCATATTTAGAATTGGTGAATGATTGGTCTCTCTTAAGTATTAACTCTGAAATGGAAGGGTTAGTGTACATCCATTCATATGGCATGTCTTTAACAGACGCATTGAGTAAATTTGGACAACTCCTTGCACTTGGCAATTTCCCAGAACATGTCGTGCCAATTTGCTTTAACTGGCCTTCGGGGAAACACAGCTTTTCAAAACACAAAAAGGCACAGGAGATGACCGACAATTTGTTCCTTCAAAACGACTTTGTGTGGTTGTTACAGTCGCTCTATCAGGCTAAGTTCAGACGCATTCACATCTTGTGCCATGGCATTGGAGGAATGTTTTTACTCAAATGTTTTTCGGCGATTCAGGTTCTCTTCTCCGCTTTTAACGCAAACGACGACAACTTAATGAGTTTTGTCAATTTGATTCTGATGAACTGCGACTACCCACTCAATAATTTCAGAGAGAAGTATAACACCGTTAAAATGACTGTGCAGCGTACCACCGTGTACTCCGACAATAGAGATAAAGTCCTCAAAATATCAGAGAAGTTCACAAAGGAAAAGACATTGGGGCACTATACAGAGCCTTTGTGTGACGATGATGGAAAAGAACTTGAACGGCTTGAATTGATAGATACGGGTGATTTGGAGAGAAATGACGATGGCAGTAATCATGGCTTTTTCAATGTGAATAAGATGATGGTCGATGACCTGTTTGAGCTTGTTGGGCAGAACAAGGGAGCTATTAATCGATCGTCCCATCTGTTGAAGGAAAAGGACAACAAGTATCGATTCTCCTTATTGCCCAAATCAGTGACAATGGTTTAAATTAATGTATTTCGTGTTAATCTATTTCTATCAATAAAGAAACTATTTTTTTATAGTTTCAAGCAAATAGAAACAATACGAATTTTAATAGTATAATTATAGTATAATTATAATTAAAAAGATACTAATTGAGTCAGAAGACTTCAAATGGTCTAAGACTCCATTCTCCACCAAGAATCAAAATAAAAAACAATACAATTACATTTAATATTCAATAGGCATAAAGTCTTGATCAATCGTAGTTTTTAACTTCTGAAGGGTTGACACTATCTCTTCAAAACTCGGTCGTAAGTTGGGGTCTTCAGACCAACTGGCTTCGGTGAGTAAAATGAATTCATTGTATGGGTATCTGTCCTCAGACCAACACGGTCTGACACCTTTGATAATAGCCTGTTTCAATTGAGACGGAAATCGCGCGTCACCAAATGGCTCTTTTCGCTCGACTAATTCCCACATGATGATCCCAAAGCTGTACACATCACTTTTATGGATAAAAGGACTTCCTCGTAAGACTTCAGGAGCAACCCATTTAGGGTTGTCGACAAAGACATTCTCTTCTCTGAGTTGTGGTCCCGAGGTACCAAAATCAGACACCAAGCACTTCACTTCACCATTTTCAGTCTTTAATAAAATGTTGGGACTTTTTAAATCGCGATGAATCAATTTCAACGAATGTATCTCTGCCATCCCACTTGCTATTTGATACGAAAAATGGACTATGTCTTTCCATGTCATTTCATTCTTTTGATTCTGAATGTAGTCATACAATGTCCCCTTGTCACAGTAATCCATTATAAGTGCGACAGGCTCAAGAGATATCCCATAGAGTTTAACTATGTACGGGGAATCAATGCGTTTCATCACAAAGAGCTCCCGCTTTAACTCAGTCAAACTTTTTGAGACGGCAAACATAGCACACCCCTCTCCTTTTGTCGCCGAAAACATCGAAGGGTCCATTGAAAACAATTTAACAGCTGCTTTGTTCCCATTGACTGTCGTCAGAAACACCTTTGCAGAGCTTCCTATCCCAAGTAAGTCTCCTTCCAGTTGTGTGTCCACCATTTTTTGAAGGTCGAAGAATTGAATAGGGTTCTTCGAATTCCTCAAGTCTGCGATGACTAAGTCCAACGCACAAGTCGACACATAACACTCGTGTCCTTGTTCAAATGCTACCTTTGGGTAATTGTTTGCAAGTGCAAAGTCTATTTCCTTCTTCGGTACACAACTTCCCAAGTCTTCTCCCCCTAGGGTTAAGCACTTGGGACACAAAATCCGCTCTTCATAATGGACTCGAGGGAACATCACGCGTTGGACGTTCTCAAAGATCTTCACCATCTCTCCCATCAGCTTCCCACCAAGAAACACTGACTTCACTGTTATTGCTCTAAATCGTGTTCTGATGACAAATTGTCGTTCGGAATAATAGACAAAGAAGTAGTAGTGTTGATCTTCCACCACCTTCGACATAAAGCACTGACTCTTCGTTGTTTTGATCACGTTCATGCCTTCTAAATTTGCGTACACCACATATGTAGAAAACAGTAATGGCGGGAAGAAGATACCAGTCATCTTCCTGCCAAAGTCGATTTCCTTAGTGTTATGCAGACTTGGCCAATACGTTTCGATCTCATCTTGTGTCAACGATCGAATGTTTCGGGGTTGGAAGTACAGCGACTTTCCATTGGAGTCCGCCAAGTTTTTTGTTGGGGTTTTGCAGCTTCCGGAACTACTTGAACTTCCGTCCCACATCGCAAATGGGTTTTCAGGTGCGTTTGTGATGTTTTGTTGGACTTCTTTGACTGGAGGAATTTGACTTTCTTTGGAATCTTCTTTCTTCGTTAGAAACTCGCTGAGGTTTGTTTTGTTTTGGACAAATTGGAAGTACTTCTCGTGGAGGTTGAATGCTGAAAGGAACTCCTCTCTGACCACAAACGTGTCGTAGTACATTTCTAAATATAATACTATCCCATTCAACATTTCAAGACTCATATGGTATTCATTAAGACTCGAATTGATGTCCTCCAAGAACCCAAATCCACTTCTTGCGTTCTTGACTAACAAAGCGTCCACCACTCTTAAGAAGTCGATGTCTGCTATGACAAAGTTACTGTTTGAGAGATCAGCACTCGTCTTCATTGTTACTTTCTGCACCTTTTCGTTGATTTTAATACCTTCTAGAGACTGATTGACAGACAACACAACGCCCAGCCGGTGTAATGCATTCAACAAAACAGTGAAATTGGGAATATCAAAGGTATGCAGTGTCTTGAAGAAGAGTCCTTGTTTCATAACAGGAGGATTAAAACTGGCCATTTTGACCTCTTTTGCTATTTTCATTAAGTTGTCATCATAGAGTGTCGGGGTGTACTTCCCAAAGACTTTCTTGATGCGATTTTCTATCGCATTCTTCTTCTTTTCTCGAAGAAATACGACTGTGCCCTCGCAGAGTAACGGGTCCATATTTGCTTTAACGACGTTGATGATGCGTTCGCAGTCACTTGGCTTCTCGTCGAAAAACATGATGAACTGTAATTTAACTTCTTTTGTGTTGTACTTGTTATTAAACGACGAGTGAAGTAAATGGTATTTCCAATGTGTCAAAACGGTGCTCCATGAGTCTTTAAATAAGACCAATAAGTAACAGTCATTTGTTGGTGTAACGAATCCGATTTTGTCTTCAAAGTTGTGAAAGATGAGATGGAAGTTCGATTGCTTCTGGTTATAATCTAAAGGGAAATTCTCGTATATTCTAACCGAGTCAGACTTTGAATTTTTGAACTCACTGACATACTGTCTCAGTTTTGACCATCCCACCGCGTCTGAAAGGACGTGAAGAGGTATCTCGTGGATGTTGACTGCCTTCTGTTGGTTCTTTTTGAATTGATCCAAGTCTTGTGAGAAGTTAGGAAGGGAGTTATTATACCCCAAATCAAACATTCTTAAATTGGTCAATTGGAAGAAGGCTGATGAGATGTATTTGATGTCATTTCTTGAGATGACCAAATTGACCAACTTTTCCAGTGAAAAGAGGGAGAACGGGAGTTTCTGTAATTGGTTGCAAGAGAGGTCCAACGTCGTCAAATTAGTCATCGCACTAATCGAGTTAGGGACGTTACTTTTGTTGCAATGTGAGAGTGTCAGTGCACTGAGTTTGGTGCAGTAAAAGACTGACGAAGAGTTGAGCCCGATGTTCTCGGACAAGTCGAGTGAGACTAAATTCGGCAGTCGATGAATGATTTTGGGTAACACCTTAAAACTGTTTCTTGCAATAAGAAAGCGAAGAGAAGAAGGAAAGCAAGCGTCTTGTGTGACTTGTCTGTTCGAGATGTTCAAGAACTTCAAGCTTGTAAGCAAATCAAACCGAATCATTTCATAGTGACTTGCATTAGTTGATGCTTCTGAGATATCCAAGAATGTCAATGAAGTCATATGTGTCAAATGCCATTGTGGGATGAAGAGGAGATCGTTGCACGAGAAGCTCAGTGACTCCAAATGTGGTATTAAAGCAATCTTGTCGTGAATAAAGCGCAAGTTGTTGTTATTCAATATGAGTTTTCGAGTGATTCCCTTCATAGTATTAATATAGAAAAATCGTGGAAGAGTGGCCAACCCCATATTCTTGAAGTCGACCGTCTCCCTCATATAAGAAGACTTCTTAAAAAGTGCTGCTTTGTCTTTTGTGAAGTACGAGAAGTTCAAGTAAAAGCTTTGTTGGAAAAGGATGAGTGACATCTTGTAGAAGTCGATGAAGTTGAAGTCGAAGTTATTGAAGTCATCATTAACAAAGAGTGGTTTGTTTTCAAATAAGTAGCAATAAAGTGATTGCGATGGGTTTTGACATACCGACATAGTTGAGAACTTCATAGAGATCGAGTGATATAAAATGAAGCTCAGTAACTCCTTCTTGAACTCGAACATAGAAGGGTATGATTGTAATAAACAGCTCATCCCATGTAAGAAGAGAAATAAAGGGTATGGATACTTTTGTAATAGCATTAATCGATATGCAAATGAAGCTAACAAGTGCATATGAATCATTTCTATAAATCCTTCATATGTTCTATAATACTTATCAGTGAGGACTAGGAGTAAACATGAGACACAACAGATAAAAGTGTTATCGTCGTTCTTCGGGACAAAGATGAAGCTATTCCCAAGGGAGTATCTCTTAATAATGTCATACAAACACATCATGACCTTCTTTAATTCTTGGTTAA